TGCGTGCGTGCGTGTGTCTGCGTGCTGCGTCAGTCTATTTCTGATGTAAGAATGTAAACTTCTGTTGCCGAAAACTTTCCCTTCTTTTAGCAAATATCCGCCATTTTATCGCCCTCCGCCGTCTTCTCAGAGCTCCAGTTGCAATCTTTAACGGACTTGGGTTGGCTGCAGTGAGCCTAAGTTCGGAAAGCTGGGCCAATTTCTGTTGTCCCCCCGCCGTGATATTGCTGGAATATTGCTAAAAGCGGCGTAAAAGTAAACTCACTCACTCACATTGCCACCTGGATCTCTGGGTCGGAGAGTGCGATGGAGTGACCCATTCCGGCCATCATGTCGGCACTTCTGTTTGTAAAGGATGAACACACCATGTTATTGTACTGGCTGTCTCGTTCAACCGGTCGTTTCTGAGCGCCATCGCATCCATAGCCACAACGGAGCACACGGAGTACCATCAATGGAGACCGCCTCCGTGGTATTGTGGTTAGACTGTCCACACGGGTTCGTTCCCCGGCCGCGTCATACCAAAAGACGTTAACATATGTACTTGTTGCATAAATGGGTACAACAAGGACTGGTCGGCTCGGCGTCAGTATGTGTCTGAGTGGGGTATTCATGCTTAACTGCAGCATGGTATCTCAGTGAGCTAACACTATAAAACCAGCTTAAATCTGGGCTAGTTCAAGCACCCATTCACCTATATTCGTAAGTACGACGTTAAACCCCATTTCTCCTCACCTCACCATACCATCAATGGTATATGTTGTGACTTTGGGGGATTAAAAATTGAATTTCAGATCGATTTGACAACGAATAAAAACAAGATCGTTATATTAGAAAGCCTAACCCTAAAAGTGTGTTGTCCGCCAAGGTCGGTATTGGGACCCTTACTGTTCAGGCTGTACACACTTCAATACTTTATTAGAAAATCAGCTTGCTGATCATACTGCCACGGAATCGTGTATAGACAATGTCAGATCCCCAACGAATCCTAATTTGTAGAAGCTACATGGTGAAAAGTCCAGAAGCTATTAGTTTTGGTTTCCTCATCTGAACTGTAATGTCATATTGACTAGCCGAAGATTGCAAGTACGTTATCTATTTGTTCTAATTCAGTAAATTACCTAGGAGTATATATTGAATTCTAATCTCAACATTAAAGATCAAATATCTCATCTGAGTAAATCCTGCAATTGTCATGTCCCGGATATTAGCGTAATTCGCCATCTTCCAACTAAAAGCGCATCAGAAACCGTTTTCACATCACTCATGTTTTCTCAGAAAGTTCAAATACAGCTGCCAGAATAGTGAGTGAATACGGTTTTACGCCGCTTTTAGCAATATTCCAGCAATATCACGGCGCGGGGAAACCCCAGAAATGGGTTCCACATCTTGTACCCATGTGGGGAATCGAATCCGGGTCTTTGGTGTGACTAGTAAATGCTTCAACCTTTACGCTACCCCACCGCCCCTAATTATGAGGTGATGAGACGGGGATTGCGACAATCAAGACTGTAAGTGATGCAGGTTGAACAAGTACGATAGGGCTTAATAGTCCCAGGATAGTTCATCGTTACACTTTAATTTTCGTACATTTCTCTTTCCCCCTTTATTTCTTATTTCAGCGCTTTGAGCGTTCCCCTTTGTGGCCGAATTTAGCGCAGTATAAATGACCACACCCGTTTTTTTTCATGTATGCAAATCGAAATTAATCGAGCACCTCCGATACAATTAGGATCAACGATAGTCATTAGTAAGAATACATGCTTGATGCTAGTTATCTGTAGAAAAGCCTTTAATATCGAACGTGATCATGACAATAGTCGACTTTGTCGCCAAACAGATGTATGCACGTACAGCCTGATACACTCGTCTTTGTATCGTTTCATGTAGGGTACATGAAGTGGCACTTGTGATGCCAGCACATGCAACCACGGCTCGTATAGGAGGCTGTCACAGGTGGTAAAATATCTTTTATCTCAACCAAGCTTTTGGACGTCAATTGGGTTACGATGACAGTTGCCAGCAGACACTCACGAGGGGTAAAGCAGGTGCTCCCAGAAGTAATTCTGTACTCAAAGACGTAGCCTGAAGAACGTCTTGTGATAGTAAGTCTATTTGTCATGCGATATGCCATGCACAATGCATGCTCGAAGCGCCCACACAATCTGTGTATTATTAATACCCTGGATAACCCAAGTTTCCTGTTAGGCGTTAGAAGGTTACAGTCACATGACTTTATCCCACCGGGTACCCATTTTCTGCTGGGTGAACAGAGGGAATATTGAACAAACTCACTTGCCAAATGTGAGTCCACATGTATCACATGTGCTTCGTTGTGGGGCAGGACTGAAGTCCAAGAAACTCTCAGGAGTCAAGCTGCCAAACATGGTCACCAATCCAAGGACTTTACACGCCTAACGTTGCGCGGATTTGCGACGTGAGCTTCGAGCACAGGACCACACGCCACCACTTGTGAGGAGTACACCCTTTGATACCAGCAGAGCTGCTTTGATAGCGGAAGGTCTTCCCAAGAGGCATCAGTCTACAAATCATTTGGTTTGATGTCGAAGTGTCAGACGTCCCTCGGCGATTTTGTATTAGCTGTTGAGCACAATATTGGAATCTGGAGACGTGGTAGACGAAAGCAGATTCTTGCTGCAGGTTACAGATGGTCGAATGCGGGTGTGGGGTCACATGAACAGTTCACGAACAGTAACGGTGGATGTTCCGTCGTGGTGTAGGGAACATCATAAACCTCTAGTGACGTCACTCTATTGAACAGATTCTTTAACGCCCGGGGCTTTCCTGACGAATAGCCTTTGACAAATAATTATTTGACTTGTATTTGTTTTGAAGACTGATGTAACATTAATGCGTGACACGTTCTAAGGATAACAACTTTTTTATTCTTTATACGACGTTTCCGAGCTAATTCGCGCTCCTTCTTCAGGTGAATGAATAAAAAAGTTGTTACCCATAAAACGTGCCACGTATTCATGTTCGTCCAACTTCTAAATGCCTTTCAAAAACCGATGTAACTTTGCCTTGCTATTACATCGTAAAGTATCCCAATATTAAAAACTTCCAATTTAGTTTGCCGAACCTGCAAACCTTGTTCACTGGCTTGGCGGTTTTATCCACGAGGCTACAAAGGGTTAGTGTAAAAAATGTTTTTTATTGGTCAGTATGAACCATGTGTTCCTCACTAGACGGGTAGTGCGTGCAGCGCTCGTGCAACGCAAGTCCAAATATTAAAATACTATCTAAAGTCTATCTTCGGTCGGTTCATAAGTAGGATCAAAACCTGGGAGTGGTGTTTGATCGTTCAGGTATCTCATGATTGTAAACTGTGGTTACAGATTGTGCATCATTACTGTACTTAAGGAACAGAGTTATTGAAGCAACACAAATATTAAACATTGCCATCATTTTCCGTGATTCTTAATGTTCCATCAAACACTTAGTTCTCCACCATAGCTCGAGTTTCATATGATACCATGTGTTTGAATAGACATGCCTATTAAACGTGGCGCTTAATTAATTTCTAAATGAAAAATTTGGATTGGACAAGCTTGCTTAAGGACCACTGACTGGACATTGTACATACAAAGGTGACTTTTAAAAAACACTTAGCAATATTCCAGCAATATGATGTCATATTAAAATAATGGAACGTCAGGAAGTTTGTGAGACAAAACACTGTATTTAAACAAAGAACATCTTGTTCTTCGATTCTTTAATTTGAGACAGAAAAATAAACCAACAGTGTTCACATGTCACGATAGGCATGTTTTTGTTTTATTTAAAAAATGACGTTTTCTGTACATATCTACAAACAAGAAGAGTATGTATGTAAAACCTGGTATTTGACTGATGTAAGTACACACGAGTCCTCCAGTTCACAACCGGACTAGGGTCACCTGGTGGACTGTGTGGGTTAACCTTACATGAGTTTGTTGTCAGCTCAAAACCACTACCGGCAACCATGGATACTGCAGTTGTCTCTCTGCTTATCAGTCTAGTTGAGATGAGTCGAGAAACAGCCATTACACCTGGCTAGTGTCCACATAAACACATTTACAAGACAAACTTTGTTCATAGACTCAGATGGTGATTCTGGTAATTATCAAAGTAAGTACATGTCAGGTCTAAAAAGCATAAAACTCCATATTCACTGTTCAACAGCCACCATTTAAAGCCAAGTGAAGAAAAGTGACAGCTAACCATTGTGTAGAAACATTTTGTGTTAGATGAAAGACTAGTCCCAATTGTAGTTAGTGGGACATTTCACTCCTGACTAAAACACCACCAAAAAGACACAAATTTAAACTAAAATTATTACTGACATTTAAATTGAAACAAAGTTTCGGTCTAAAGCGATTGTTTTAAAAACAGTCCTTCTTGAGGCATGTTCACAAACTACAGAACAAATATAAAATCAAATGGAAATAAATACATGATGGATTATAGATACAAATGACGACACCAGGACACAGTAACACCGACCCGGGAAAACAGATATAAAACTGTGTGGTTGTTAGAACGCTGGTAGGATATATGACTGGCTCAACGCACTAGGATCTCACCACACTGCAGTACTATACATGTATTTACTACAGAACTTCCTGTTTCATGTTTACACTATCACCATCCACTGAATCAGGTAGTCATTGAACTCTCACTGTGCCTCTATTTCATGCAAGCATAAGTATGATAAAAGGATGGTAGTAAAGTTAGATACAGCACAATACATCTGCAGGACAATGCGACATGGTTTTAACATATCTTGTAGTAGTATCCCAGCATATGCATGTAAATGTTCAGCTATTTCCTTTCATAAAGGGATCTAACTAAGGATTCGGCTATTACAATATCGGTTTTGGCTATCAGCCTGATTAACTCGAGAAGAATCACACAGCATCTTAACACTCATTCCTGGTAATTTCATAATGCAAATATATAATTTAACGTCAGCGGCATGTGGAGCCTTTCATTAACTGTTTTGCTTCTTTTCTTCCAGCTGTTACCTCCCTTGATCCCTTACAGGGACAAACACCTCAACACATGGGAATACACACACAGAAAGCTGTCAGCAACTCAACTGAAATTAAGATCATAGCTACTTGTAAAAACTCTACATGTGGCTAAGCCGCCATTCACATCCTGTGCCCACACAACGCAAAATGCACGAGTCCCAGCTGAAGAAAGATCCATGACAGTTGAGATACAGATGGTGTATCAATTAGGACATCATCTGTGCAGGTCCTCGTTCTCCCGAACCACCCAACTTATTGTAAGTCACTATCTGGAAGTCACACTGTCCACCTCAGCTGGCCTCGGCCATGTAGGCGTCCAGCTCGGTGTCCAGGTGCGTCTTGGTCTTGGACATGTACTCCTCCAGCTGGTTGTCCAGCTCTTCTCGGGACATCGGGGTCTGACCGGCGCCACGGCCACCGCCACGGCCTTGACCCCTGCCTCGGCCACCGCCACGGCCCTGGAACCTGCCACCACGCTGGAAACGTCCTCTTCCACGACTGCGGTTAACTCCCCTCCCTCCACGACCCCTGGAAACCGACAAAAATCTGTAACTATGGTAACTGAATTCTTGTAACTACGACGTCTGATTACAGAAACATAACCTAGGTTGTCTAAAAAACTGATGAGTTTCAATTAACCAAACCCTGAACATACAGACACTTCTTAGAGCAGACAGAACATTTACACTTCATGTCTACACATCTAGTCTCAACTTACATTATAAAAATAATTACAAAATCAGCAACAAAGACTCATTAAAAACAAATGTCAAATATTTATTTCTATCACCACAGAAAGCAAACCAAACGTCAGGAAGCAAACCTGGAACAAAGCTGGGGACGGTGAAGCAACATTTGAGAAGCCAAATGAGGGAGTTGCATCTAGGTTCTCACTTGATCGTCAAACAATTAGTACAACTGTGCTGACAGTATCACAAAGTTAACACAACACTGACACACTCAGAGGTAACTACAACAACCACTGCACATCAACACATCAACACAGAATTCAGGCAGGACATGACCACTACAAATAGCTTTGCCATTCAGCAGTCATTTCCTGTTAGACCTAGGTGCAACTCAAGACGTTTATGCTTCTCGGTTTCTTGACATGGTGGGGAAAGGACAGAGAATTTCTACTGAAAAAAATCTACTGACTGGAAAAAAAAAAATCTTGACAGAAGAAACAGTGAACCTTGAACCTTGTACCAGGTACAATACTGGGGAAGCCTCATCTAGACCCAGCTTGGAAATATTGTAGTTTTACCAGTTGTCAATAATTGTCATTAGGCCAGCTGGCAATACCTCTAGTTTACCTGGCAAATATTTTGGGTTCTACTGCCAGTAGGCAATATCTGTTGTCTAAACCCCAGTCGGCAATATCCGTTGTTTAAACCCCAGCCGGCAATATCCGTTGTTTAAACCCCAGCCGGCAATATCCGTTGTTTAAACCCAAGCTGGCAATATCCGTTGTTGAAACCCCAGCCGGCAATATCCGTTGTCTAAACCCCAGCTGGCAATATCTGTTGTCTAAACCCCAGCTGGCAATATCCGTTGTTTAAACCCCAGCTTGCAATATCTGCTGTCTAAACCCCAGCTGGCAATATCTGTTGTTTAAACCCCAGCCGGCAATATCCGTTCTTTAAAACCCAGCCGGCAATATCTGGTACTCTACCACCAGTGGGTAATAGCTTAAGCACCTGCAGGCAATAGTTGTTGTTTTTTAACACTAACATTTTAGCTTGTGAGACAAGATGTCTTCTTAAAACCTTAAATGGTGAAATTAGTAATTAAAAATAAAACTCCTCTAGAGAACAACAAGCAAAGAGCAGTGAATCTATCAATCATTTTCTACAGAAACTAAACATGCTTGGAACAAAGCGTGCTTGGCTACTAAGAAAACACAAACACGTAACGTTGCAATCTCTATCACCTCACTAACTTCAGCCACAACTTTGAAGCAAAGTTTAGCAACTTATCTTTGAACCAGTCAGAACTGTTGTGACACTGAACAGTCTGACAGAGACTGACCTGTCATAATCAAGATTTGAATGATATACTGTCTACAAATCCTGCAACTCTCTAAAATGTACAGAAAACCACATACACGGTGGCTCTATATATTTTCATTTCATGATCCAAGTTCTACTTCAGTCGGAAATGCTTGATATTGATATTCCCACAAATAATTTAATGTTGGATCTTACCATACTGCAAAGAAATGAAAGTATCCCCTGAAAGCTTATTGTCTTGCTATTTAAATCAATTATTTTATACCAAGTATGGATTTTAATAAAAACCTTTTTCTGAACTTAATACTCCTAAATGTCGAACTATCTTTTGCAAGTCATAATGGAGATGGACGACAATACACCAGTACCGATTTCACATCAAGACAACTTTAGATGTGATGGTCAACAATTAAGGATGAAGTTAATGTCAATGAGGTCTTAGTGACACTATCTCTTGCTCTGTAAATCTCTCCCAAACCTTGAAAAGGAAGAGCATCCACACTCACATCAAAATGGCCTTAGAACACAACGACAAGCAACATGGAGTGAAACAAGCCCTTCATGTTACCACAATGCACAGAGTGTACACAAGGATATACTGAATGCTGTTAGGAAACAAACAAATTCTGCATTAGTCCTCTCTACAAACAGACAAAAACGCTCCCCTTAACTGGCCACCAAACCAGCAAGGCAAACAACTCTAGCAAGTGAGTGCCCATCTTAAACCAGGAACCTCCCACTCACAGACTGACAAAACAGTCCGCTCCAGGAAACACCCCGTGCTCCTCTAGCTTGGAGTGAGTGAGTATGGTCTTATGCTGCTTTTAGCAATATTCAAGCATTATCACGGCTGGGAACACCACAAATGGGTTTCACACATTGTACCCATGTGGAGAATCGAACCCTGGTCTTCAGTGTGACCAGTGGACACTTCAACCACAAGGCTTCCCCACCGCCCCTAGCTTGGAGTGACATACACAACACCCTTCCCTTGATAGTGATAAGCCCAGTCCATAACCTCACAGTAATATGACCCCCACCCCACACTGACATGACACCTCGCCTACCATCAGATAAATATATGACCACACCCTACCCCGTGATAGATACATGACCACACCCTACCCTGTGATAGACACATGACCACACCCTACCCGTGATAGATACAGACCCTCCCCGATCCCAGCCAACAAAGACATGACCCCACCCACCTACATTAAGAACAGTGGAACTCTACCCCCCGATCAGACCCACAGCTCCTGTCCCGTGTGAGAACACCACCACATCCAGTCAGTCACTAGTGAGAGTAGGGGGGGGGGGCAAGCCTCACAAGTGCATACATTCTCCGCCAGTTGACGAAGACTACAAATCACGGAAGTCCTGAATGTTTGACTAATGTTTGAACTTTACGGTGTACAGTGATAACAACGGATGATGTTATCAGTCATGGCCACAATGGGAGTGGGGGGAGTCGGGTGAAGGGGGGAGAATACAAGTAAGAATGAAACATATAACTTTATGGATGACAACTTCTTATTTATTGCATAGAGCGACGTTTCGATGTAGATTCTTACATCGTTATCAAGCTAAAAGTACGTTTCGATGTAGATTCTTACATCGACATCAAGCTAAAAATACGTTTCTGTGTAGATTCTTACATTGTTATCAAGCTAAAAGTACGTTTCTATGTAGATTCTTACATCGTTATCAAGCTAAAAGTACGTTTCGATGTAGATTCTTACATCGTTATCCAGCTAAAAGTTTAGCTTGATAACGATGTAAGAATCTACATCGAATGTCGCTCTATGCAATAAATAAGAAGTTGTCATCCATAAAGTTGTATGTTTCATGCTTGAGTCACCAACTTCTAGAATGCCCATCAAACAAGTTTCCTACACCAACAACCAATGGGTAGCTACAGGATTAGAATGATGACATTTGAAGTCAATAGACATAGGGAGGTAGGCAATGTCTGATAACTCCAAACATCGCGTTAACGTTACAATGTTACAGCCAGCAAGAACCTATGCAGGATATGTAACAATATGTCAGTTAAACTGGTTACAAATGAAAAAATGACTGTTTTTCAGAAATTTGGATTACATTTGCTTCCTCAGATTTTGATGATATTAAAAGTTAAACTTAAAAGCTGTCACAAACGATATAAAAATAAAATAAAATAAATAAACAAAAAATCAAATGCTATACAATGAATAGTGAAATACACCTTTACAAGGAAAATATTAATAGATACAACCAGAATTGGTACATTTTATTTTCTCCTTTGTGAATCTGTTGAGGTGTATTTGGTGTAGAAATGGGGCTTTCAAGACCAGGCTAATATTCTCTCCCTATAATTCATAGAACAATGATGGCTGCAACTTTGCACACAATATTAAACCACAATCAATTGGTGTCCTAATAGAGAACAATGGAGATGTATGCACTTGGCAGGCTGGAGGAGGGCTGGCAGAGAGAAAGAGAGGTGAGAAGCCAGCATGCCAACACCTAGCAACAGCTTACTGGGAGAACTCGTAGCCACGTGACTGGAAACCCCGGCCACGGCGGCTCCCACCTCGGTAATATGGCCGCCCATCATCACCACCACGCCCCCTACACACCAAACAGAACACGGCTGACAGTGTACACATCGGGCCTTTCAGGACACAACATGGATAACAATCAACATGTAGAGGTGTTACACTGGTCTCATTCAGCATTAAACATCCGGACATTTATCACATACTGATCTAGGATAGTACTGGACATACCAGCTACAGAGATCAGACACTTTCACAAAATACTGCATAAGTCTAACCTACTGTCAGGATCGAGTGAAACTTCTTTTAATCAAAAAAGCTTAGCTAATAGAAATCTGTACATGACATGTTTAGGACACAGGCTACCTCAGTGTCAGCTCTTGCGTGACACACATAAACCAACAACCAATTCATGTACTGTACGAGATGGGTAGTCACACACTGTTAACCGACATTTGCTGGTTTATTTATAACAAGTAACATCTCAAAGTCCCAAAGTACTTCTGGCTACATGGCTACATCCGAGTTACATGTGAAAACAATTGGTTCTCTAAACACTCAGTCTATAAAAATGTAATTTCTCATATGCAAACCAGAAACGTTACAAAAAGCTTAGTCCAAGCAGACTAACTTTATAAGAGAGAAGGGTTAACTTTTCAATAATGGCTATCCCCTTTAAAACAAGTGAGAGAATAATGTGGCGCCACTTTTAGCAATATTCCAGCAATATCACGGTGGAGGACACCAGAAATGGGCTTCACACATTGCACCCATGTGGCCATCCCCTTTGAATATCTCTCATGCAGGTGCATACTTCCACATTTTCATTAGGTCAAAAATTAAGTGAAAACTCCATACATACATAAAATTCAGCATGTGATACTAAGACGCTGTTTTTAAGAGACAATGTAGTATTTCCAGGGTAGTTTTGGTGTGTTTCGACAAGTCCATTTATAGACCTTGTGTCACAGAGTAGTGAATATTTTAACACCACGTGAACTGCAAGCATGGCCTCATCGACACCCTGTAAATCCGTTGTTAACAGATGCACTACTAATTTGCTTTCTGGGATCTCATACAAGTAAATAAAGCAATATTAAATGTCAAAAATCAGACTTTGACTGACTGAGTTTTGGTTTTACGCCGCTTTTAGCAATATTCCAGCAACATCACGGCGGGGGACACCAGAAATGGGCTTCACACATTGTGCCCATGTGGGGATTCGAACCCGGGTCTTCGGCGTGACGAGCCAACGCTTTAACCACTAGGCTACCCCACTGCCCATCAGACTTCGAAGTTATGAAAGCATAACTGTGCAATTTCATTCTCAAACTCATAATCATTATTCCAAAATTATGATCATTCTGACATTTCTGTAACACAAGGCATTAATCAGATAGGCTCTTCATAGGCTCCACAGATCACCAGTCACTTAACACACAGTGTTCATGTTAACTCACCTGAAACCACTGGGACTGCCACGCCCACCTCTAGCCTGGAAGCCACCCCTCCTCATGCCACGCCCACCTCGACCTGATACAGACAGATGCAGGGTATCAGGACAAAGAACACAATATCCAAGTAATATCGTTAACACTGCAACTAAACGGGCAAAACCCACTACATGTACTTATTCTCAGCCAGGGGAAACGTCAAGTCAGCCAGAGGTTAACAATATGAGCAGCTATCATCCAGCACAGACAACACACCTTGCCAGACCCTTACATGACCCTTGCAAGTAGGCACATCACACCAAATACAGGGAGTTGGAGGCTCAAGGATGTCCCCACAAGGACGTCACCTCAAGGACGACCCCCTCATGTCACCAAATCTTGCTCAGTTTGTACATAACCACACCTTGGTTTATATTTGTGGAGTTTGAGTATTTGATGCCAGGAGTGGGCCTGCTTCGTGCTTCTGAGACTTTTGTTTCTAGTTTGTTTTTCAATTAATACTTAACTCAGCAATAACAGCTGTATGATAATCTACAAACACCATGTTACTCTGGAAAAACAATCCAGTGATTGACATCCTGAGCATCAATGTATGAGTGAGTGAGTGAGTTGAGTTTTACGCCGCACTCAGCAATATTCCAGCTATATGGCGGCGCGGTCTGTAAATAATCGAGTCTGGACCAGACAATCCAGTGATCAACAGCATGAGCATAGATCTGCACAATTCGGAACTGATGACATGTGTCAACCAAGTCAGTGAAACTGACCACCCGATCCCGTTAGTCGCCTCTTACAACAAGATAGTCGCCTTTTTTATGGCAAGCACATGGGTTGCTGAAGACCTATTCTACCCCGGATCTTCACGGGTCCATCAATGTATGAAATTAGGAGACATTAACCTGCATCCACTATATCAGCGAGCCTGACCACCGGATCCCATTTATCAACCATGAGAAAAGAATGATTTGTGAAGGTTGTTTAAGTAGAATACAAAAGATTTCCTTCACAACTGAGGTCACCAATGCTGTAGAACTGAACCCCTGCCTGCATGAACTCACGTGGACTGAAGCCTTGGTTGAAGCCCTGGTTGAAGTGCCCACTGCCATCTCCAGCAAGGGATGCCTGTGACTGCTGTCTGCTCATCTGGCCAGCAAGGGGACCTCCCCGACCACGCCTCATCCCGCGGCCACCACGGCGGTTGCCTCTCTGGCCGCCTCGAGGCTGGCCCCTTCCAACAGCAGACAGGTTCAGCCTGGCCTTCACATTGCTTCGACCCAAACGTTGCTGGAGACTACGCTGAAGGCAAATTATTTCAAGTTCTGAGAAATGCATCCCTTCTGGGCGAAAGATTTGTTAAGATCTTAATGTTTTCTCAAATGAGGCCATCCGTGCCAGTGTTCATGAATAGCATCAGACCCTGACGAATCCGGCAGATTTGCTGACAGTTCGATGGAAGTCTACAACCTGCCGGACCCAGTGTGTGACTGTATATTTCACAATGACTTTGACTGAAGTTGTTATGTGGCATGTCACACTTGTTTGCTGTTTATAAATTTTACATTTGTTAATAAGTTCAATGCTAATAAGAAATGGTTAATCTGAAATGTGTGTTAAATTTTAATACTATGGGTCCTGAGAATTTTCAGTGGGTCAGACAGACATCTGAAACTTACAGGACCCAATGTCCTTTTACTTTTATTTTTTTAAACACCACTTGTGAACACTGCATGGGTAAACAGGAAGTTTAGGATTTGACATCCCTTGCATAAAGTTCAGGTATCAAGTGAGTGAGTGAGTGAGGAGTTTAGTTTTACGCCGCACTCAGCAATATTCCAGCTATATGGCGGCGGTCTGTAAATAATCGAAGCTGGACCAGACAATCCAGTGAACAACAGCATGAGCATCAATCTGCGCAATTCGGAACTGATGACATGTGTCAACCAAGTCAGTGAGCCTTACCACCCGATCCCGTTAGTCGCCTCTTACGACAAGCATAGTCGCCTTTTGTGGCAAGCATGGGTTGCTGAAGACCTATTCTAACCCAGATCTTCACGGGTCTCAGGTATCAAGAATGTTACATGCTTGTTAGTTCTTAACTATGACTGACTGACTGAGTTTAGTTTTACGCCGCTTTTAGCAATATTCCAGCAATATCAGTGAGCTTAACACATTGTGCCCATGTGGGGAATCGAACCCGGGCCTTCGGCGTGACGAGCCAACGCTTTAACCACTAGGCTACCCCACCGCCCTCTTAACTATGAGTCCTTGCATGATTCTGTTCAGTCTTGAACTTGTCAGAGGTCCAGCATGATTTGTATATCTTGGTCATCAACATCATATATGTTTTGTCGGTTACTTGTTAAAAGCCTCATGCAGCATTATTCAAGATTTGTCAAGGCATGTATGACAAGACAACCCAAGACATATTGTGAACATTGATCCAAGATCCGGGTTGTATCATTGCTTCATTAACTAGTGTCAACATTTAACCCTAATGATACATTAAATCCTTAATGCGTCATTAGTTAATGGAAACATTAAAAACGGTTGTATCAAACACTTATTAGCGAATCATTATCTAATGACGTCCTAATGTAAATATTTTCATTAAATCCGGGGATTCACCTAAATATTTCCCACAATTCCGCGACGCTAAAACCATGTGTCTAGAAAAAAACCAAAACATGTTGGATGTGAAAACGGAGAGTTGTGCTCATAACACAGCGCTTGCTAGAAAAGTTATCAAAGCTGAAATCAGATTTTATACTGGGCAGCATTTTCTCAAGTTTTTGGACATCAGTTTGTCTATTCGTAGAATGCATGAGCTCAATACTTTTAGAATATGCACGGAAAGAGTATCGTAGCAAGAACTAGAAAATTAAAAAACAGAAACAATACAGAAATTTGATATATTCATTCGAAAGTTCTGTGCAGCGTGACACTATGCCAGACGCAAAATCATGGAGAACGACATAGGCAATTATCGGCATTTCTGACTTTTTCAATGGAAGCAATAAAAACAAATAACCATACGCAGATAGTCAGAATGTTTCCCATTACTTACATCATACATTTATGGAGAAAGGTTCTCTCGCAAAATCGTGGGCACCCATATCCACAAAGCCGCCATTTCATGAGAAATCGGTCACTGGTAGTGATGTCATATGTCAACATTGTTGGACATACAGTCAAATCCCGATGAGTCGAATCTCTGGGGACCAAGTAATAAATTCGACTTATCGATGTATTCGAGACATAGGTATGTCTATGAGGGTAGAAAAAAAAGATGATCCAGTCCTAATTCCTCCGCCTAAGCATTTGTTTATCTAATGATTTCCATATCACTAATAGGGGCACCTTATCAGTTCCAGTCTGATTAGCACAGACAGTGATTTCCGTAAGATCACTAATCTGCCTTTTGAACTCACCCGTCAAAGGCGGAAAGGTGTGAGCCACGCTGGTTTGTTAATTGGATCAGTTTGCTACACCAATCAACTTCTCATTGACTGACTTCGGCTTATGTATACAAGATTGCTGTTGTTTGAATCTCATGGGACCAACTTTTCTTCTCGAGTCATCGTGTGTATTTATGAGTCGAATTCGTGTAACCGGTATTCAAATGATGACAACTATAACAGGGAATGGTCGGGACCGACAGGTACTTCGAGTTATGCATAATATTCGAGACACCGGCATTCGACTCATCGGGATTTGACTGTATTTGGCAATTTCTTTGAGGTGAAGGTTGGTTGAATAAGATTAAACACAATCACACTGTCCTGCGGATTACACTTTTAGTATTAATGTATACTTTGCGTATCGTTCACATATGGTTTCATGAAACTAATTTCATTATCAACATTTAGTATTTTAAACCTAAGTAAAACTGACATAATAAACAAAAATGATTGATTTTTTTCATGAAATGTATATATATGCACACGTTTTCAAAGGATATGTCTTGTTCATTGAATTTGTTTATGTTGTGTTATAGACAAAACAATGGCGTATAATCATTGGCCAGGTGCACGTTTGTCACAAATGTTTTGAGTATCATTGTTTTCGATAATTCCTTGAACAAAACATCACGAAAATATAGTGTCCTTATTCACAGCAAATGCTCTCCAAGTGATCTGAGTTACAATGACTTAGTATTAAGCATAGCGGAGTGATGCCCCCTTATCTTTATAAGCGTACGACCTTTTTGTAGCCATTTGACGTCATAGGGGAAAATTCATTTTCAACACATATTGCGAGTCATTTTTAAGATTGAGTGTATAACGTTATATATAAGCACACAAACTAATTTAATACATACCTATGTCGTTCAGGTATCAGGCAGAATTTTGTTCGCTCACACTTTCCGTAAAGATGCCAAATTGAAAACATAGCACAGTACTTTTATCAGTGCACGATAAAAAGCAGAGAAATTTACTGTTTTTAACGTATACCAAAATTAGGGGTAACATTTAGCAGTGTCTACTTTTCAAACTGAGTTTATACCATGAGATAGAACATTTAATACTCTTCATTTCTGTGTAATTTTATAGCTATAGGTAGATCCAGTGCTGCGCAAACAAAATTCTGGCGCAATGTTCACTTTTCCAGGAAGTTTAATGACGCTCTGATACCCCATGATCTTCATTAAATTAATGACAACAGGATGTCATTAAAACGTTAGTACAACAGAATTTAATGATACATTAGTTAATGAACGTTTAATGGCACGTAAATGCTTCATTAAAGTTTGATACAACCGGGTCCAGGTAGTTTGGGAATCAGGACCACTCTTATTATAGTCAAGGATCCGGACTACATGATCCAATGGGTTATGCAGGGCTCCTGATAATTTTTCAACATCAGGAGTACGTACTCCTTATTTTTTCAATATAGGAGTACTGGAAAAACTTAAGAGTACATTTAGAGTACTGAATGGACTTTAATGGCGTATCAGTAATCTATTGTTTCGTTTCAGATATGCACCACAACATTGCTAGTCTTGTGTACACAGGTGAATAAACAATAAAAAGAATTCTTTTTTCAGATAAATATGTCTGTAAATGATTCTAAGACCGTACACCATTGCTGTGGTGCGTATCTGCTACGTTTCATAAATTATTTCCTATCGTATCGTGCATATCTTTTAGCCGTACATACGCCGATACGACCTTTATCTGGAGCCCAGGTTATGTCTCCCAACATGGAACAATACGCATGGGTCATATACATCACAAGTTCCACTGCTGAATGAATGATAACTTTCTCATTAAAATAGTGGGCTTTAGGAGTCCACCCTGTCCCATTACCTTCTTGAGTCTCATCGCCACGGCAACACCATTTCCTGGCATGCTGATCTGTGGTTGGTTCATCATTGGTCCAACTCCGGGTCGGTTGGCCAACTGCTGGGCTAATCTCCTGTTCTTGGCTGATGCTTGTTGCTGGGCCACCATGTTAGCACGGATGTTGGGCACGACAGTCTGGGGGCGCGCGTCTTCTGTATGTTGGTGAAGCTTCACGGACAGGCAGAGAACACTGGTGTTATAGTGGGCAGTACAACATACTTACACTGGTGCAACGGCGGCAGCAGCAGCATCCTGCACCACATCAGCCCCTGCCCCATGCCACTACCATGCTTGTGTAGCCGTGTGGTCCCTTCGCTGAGCTTTGTACTTTAGTTACTAATGCACATGGTTTTGGGGAGTTTTCATCTATCACAAACTTTCAAACTACAAGATCACCGCAGAAAACACTTTTCAGGAACTTGAGATGATTGAACAGGGGGTCATTAACCAAGACAGTCATATAATCAAGATAACCCTGTAGGCTTTTACTACCAAATGAACTAAGATCTCGAGCGCACATTATTACTTAATACCTAGGATAATAAGTTTCCCATTCAATTTACCCACGACTCCCTTCCTGTAAACATTCAGGTTTCATGAACAGAAACGGTGCAGAACTAGAGAACAATATCAAACAAATACCAAAGTGGTGTACCAAACATTTCATGGCTATCCTCTACAATATCTCTAAGAGTTTCAAGAAACCTTTCATAGATGACCCAGCGGTGGAAATAACTTAAAATTGCTAGTGTACCCCAGTACAGTGGCACATGTAACATCACTTGCCCTGATAATTTTTCCACTATACCGGCCGTTTTCTTGTTGATTTTTTAAATAAACAACATAATTAATATTGGAAAGTCAACTGGACACCGGTACAGTGTGATATACAAATTTGCTTGCCCGGCAGAAAAAAACACAGGACTCTGGTTGTCGGGCAATGGGTTATTTCCACCCCTGTGACCATCTCCTCCATTGATACAAAACATCACCTTATACTGGACAACATGAGATACCTGTAATATTTACCTGATGCAAATACCATATAATGAAAAACTCTAAATTCTAACCACCTCAAACACAGATTTGAAAACGTTGATGCCTCGCATACAAGATTCATCAACATGAAAATACACTTCCTCCAAAACATGTCCTGATTTCACATTTTTCCAAATCCTTGTTCAAATAATGAAAAGTGTAACACACATCAACTCTTAACATGTCTTTCCAGATCCTTACGCAGTTAAACAGCAAATACAATCCACAATTTCAACAAGTTCATCGCATTATTCACTGAGACTTAAAGTAGTGGTATGAAGCCTGTGTCAATTTAAGTCTATTCGTTCAGAAAGCCCAAGTTATAAATCCATAAACATGATATAACGCTTAACTCTACCTAACACGAATCAAAGATCCATGACAGAACTAACAGTTTTATAGTACCGACTGGTTATTAATGAAATGTGAAGCAAATTATTTGTGAAATGTGAAGCATCATGAACCTTGTCCCACAAGAGCAAGTATATTTTCTGACCATGGTGCATAGTTTACGCCAGCCTGAGCAGAGCGTTATTTGATGGCATGCTATGAGTCACTGTGTGACTGTACAGAAGCTCTCCAGGACCACACCTATCCCTCCATCACATCAAGTTACAGCCAAATACCTCAGCTCATACTGCAGCTTTAGCAAATTTGGACATGCTGTGAACATCTTCATCATACATTTAATTAAACATGGAAAGCATGGAGTTGAAATTCAAACCAATATTAGTACCATGTGTTGAGGGATAGCTGTTTGCTGTGGGTTTTACCTTGGTGTTTAATTTACTTACGGTTCCTGATTTCAGGAAATCTCACACCATATTTACCCTTGTGTATTAGCTAGCATGGGTTAATAAACATAAAACAGTCATTGAGTGCTTTTGTGACTCTCTGACTGGCATGGTAGCAGTGGCCCGTCTCAGCCTTCCATCCTCATTGGAATTTTTTGCATCAAATTTGTTCTTCTTCGTCCAAATATTTTTACTGAAAGGTGAGGATTTTCATGAAGCTGGGTTTGTTTAACATTGCGCCATTAGGATTTCATATTTCCTTTCTGGCATGGGCTTTGGACACATTTTGTGTAAACATGCTTAATCTTTGCCGATGTGACAGCACAAGGGGTTTCAAGTCCTATCTAGGAAATATCCACGAGATATTAGCCTTTTTCAGTTCAGAACACTTCCCACATTGTCTCTGAGAACACACGCTGGACACAAGCATTTCCGTGCTGGTCACAACAGAAGCCATGAACTGTAGTCGTGGCAACACTTGGGATTCCTCACCGATCATTAAGAGACATCTTTGTGGTGCTTTTCAGCACAATCTTTGCTGGGACTTGTGACGTCATCTTGTCTCCCACTGCAATCGAACGAACAATAACCTTAATAATTGCAACATTAAATAAGAAAAATAACAAGGCTAGTAAAAGCAAGTGTTTTGGTAATATAAACAGGTCCTAACAACAGAAGCTTGACAAATCAAATGGTCGTCATTAAGGCTGTAACGATTCACTCGCACATTCACTGAATCGAACCGTAGCCCTTCATGAATTCAATTTGTTATTCGTGGTCACCAGAACCGAATATTAACGAATATTTACAATTTTTTTAAGGGAGCATGTTTTACTTGAACCCTTATGTCCTTTCCAAAGTGAGATATGCAAGAATGGAACATGTACTAGCATTGCAGAAGTGCAAGTCATGTTAGTTTGCCAAGACTGCACATGGTACTGTTGACTATAACTATTACATACCAAATTTGAGTGTCATGAGATCACTGGTTATTGCTGTGACAAATCAAAACTGTTAACATGGGCGTTCCATAAAGTGCATCAATCACTTAACTACAATATTATATTCGTGAATAATCATTCTTATTCGTTACCCAAAATTCATGATACGTATCATATTCGCCACATAGTGTATTCATTGCAGCCCTAGTCGTCATCATAACCCCTAAGTTGAATGTTAAACTTAAGACTGGGTCAAATAACAAGGAACAAAACTCAAAGACCCTCACAGTCAACTATCAGCAACTGATCTTACTAGAAACAAAACGTCTATTTTTCACAAGATTTCAGTATGAAAATCACATCTCGTTATGATGGCATTATCATCATCCTGGGAGTGGGATAAAGAACTTTGACAATGGGCCATTTTCAGGATTGTACCATATTTGGTCCCTATATTTATTTCAGGAAATCCAAACCTGATATGACTAGAGCAATTCTCTAATCTTACAGTGTTGACAATTATTACGAACACTAAACCCCTACATGATATAGAACGCTAATGATACGTTGCACCCTGATTCGTGCTTCAATGATCACAATCAACAAATCGTCACTGTGTGTTTTCTTTTATCTGTAAGAATATGTTTACTGTTCCTCAGATCAGCTGCAACTCACAGTGGAGAACCTCAATCATGTCTACTTATAATTATTTCAAAACAAAACTTTCCCTGGCCGATTCGATGATAGGACACCGAAGAAATTTTTCGGATTCCACAAACCGGCTGACCTATTTTAGAATTTCAGAATGCATTTCATAATCGAGGGAGGAAATCATCTGTGTAACGTATCCAAACACAAATACACAAACTCACACACCTTCTGCACAATATACAGAATTCTGATGTCTCTGATATTGCTTCACTTGATATTATTTCTCCCAGCTTCTGCTGACGCGTTAAAAATGGCAACGACGCACGCGAACCGCAGTGAATATGGACGATTCATGATAAATAGTAATAATATAATTTCATTCCCGTAAAACTACCACGTATTCCTTAATAAAATAATTGAACACTAATAATACTACTATTAAGAAAAATAAATTCTCACAATGGGTTACACGATTAATTACGCGCAATAAAAAATGCACTACAATGTTTTGCCCGTGTCTACTGTATGGTCGAGTCAATTATTCATAGAAAGGGGAGACAAGTTTAATGATTTTAATTTTGTCCAAACAAAATGTGTATTATTTGACATGTTAGGTTTTTTAAGCTGTCTGTAAATGATATAACTTTATGAAAATATGTTTGTAAGAAACTGGGTTAACAATATTGGAATAATATCCGACCACAGCTCCTTCCGGGATGTAACTTGTTTCCTGTTTCCCCTAGCAACGCTCGTAGACTCTCCCTTACACAATAACACTGAAACAGCCATATTAGAGTTACACTGAAAAAAGGAGGGAAGATAAATCTGTTACAAATCGATTGGAACTTGCAAAAATAGCGAGATGATGGTAAGCATTCAGTCTTATAGATCAGTGTGTAGCCGATTAATAGTAAACACCATAGTTAAATGGCATACTATGGTATATAATGACATCGATAGGTCATTGAAGACACTGTGTCACCTAATTTCGGGACAGCATCAAACATTTATATCTTGAGTTGACATTGTATCGTGATCGTTTCAGTACAGATTGCTTGTCTTAATCGGCAGGCGACAAGGCTCAAAAGAAACAGGAAAATGATTCCTCTGGTCTGTTTATAGTTTCATGTAACTGAACATGAACATAAAATGGACAATGTTATGTTATGGTGTAATTTACATGTCGACACTGTCCCATATGCCCGATGCTAAATGTAACCCTGCTTTGGGGGATCATGGGTTTTGAGGTATAATGTCACTATAGACTATACTGATGATGAGATCACCATACAGAGCTGAGTATGATTAAAATGGTGGGCAGACATGTACATTTGAGGTGAGATGAAATTGGATTTTACGTCGTGCTTGAGTATATTTCGCTCATATGACGACGTGCATGCGTGTGTATGTGTATGTGCGGCTGCTTGTACTAGCCCAGATTTACGCTGGTTTTATAATGCTAGCCCACTGAGATACCATGCCGCAGTGAAGCAGGAATACCCCACTCAGACACATTATACACTGAGCCGACCAGTCCTTGTTGTACCCATTAATGCCAAGTGCCAGGCAGGGACCAACAAGTACCATATTTTAACGTCTTTTGGTATGATGCGGTCGGGGATTGAACCCGTGACCTTCCGCTCTCCGGGCGGACGCTCTAACCACTACACCAGGGAGGCGGTCTGTACATTTTACATAATATGACGGATACAATGTTAAACCCGTACATTTAGTTGGTTTAGTGGTGAACATATAGTAAAGCTGTACCAGAAGTATTATTCGAAAATAAAAGATTAATAATTTGTCTCTGTAACATCTTTAATTTCCATTAATATACATTTGCAAATTAAGAAAGTAAGATTGTTTAAGGATAACAACTTATTTTATTATATATGATACAATGTTTCGGTATGGATTCTTATACCGTCGTCAAGCAAGAATGAAGTACTACAGCACTTTACTCTTGCTTGACAACGGTATAAGAATCCATACCGAAACGTCACATCACATATAATAGAGAAGTTGTTATCCATAAACAATCTTACTTTCTTATTAGTCACAAACTTCTAAATGCCAATCAAACAGATCATTTGCAAATTATTTACTAAAATGCTAAAAAATCACCAGTCACCAGTCAATCAGTGGTTGGTGCCAGAGGATATTAACATATCTGAGTCATGTTTAAGGAGTTACCATGGTAACTATTATTTGATTCTGCCAGGACAGAATATTGCCTTTTGACCTCTTGCTGAGACATTTATGGCTTGAAAAATGTTCTTGTATTAAGTTGTATCCCAATCATTCCCATAGTTATTAGGATTTGTTAAGAGTTGAAGAATTGTTCTCTGATTTTTCATTTTTTTCAACAGAGACCTATTTCCAACTAATGGTCATGAGATGCTGTATTAGTATAAGTTATACAATTCTTAATTTCAAGTAATATTTCTGGAATGTTAATAAAATATCAGGATTTTACATGACGCGCACATGTGCGTTCAGTACACACAAATGTAGAATAAAAATGCTGAAAAAAATTACTTCGTCCAGAGGGATGCACAATATTGTTCATTGTACCCACAACACATCTGTGACTTTGCTACATTGTTTGGTTGTTTCTTGTTGAACAGTTACGTACATCATTTCACCCATCAGTCCACATGATCAATGATTCATTCCAGGCTCTAAAGAAATTAACAAAACATACAGTTCTCTACGCTGTTACTTCACAGGACCCTCGTAATGCCTACAAGGACCCGTAGAACTAATAATTAGGGTTCCCTGGGACCCTGTGTTTGTGAGTTGAGGTAAAACCCTGATATGTTGATGTACCAATATCTTTATGACAGTGAGAGGTATGTTTCGGTGTAGGTTCTCACACTGTTCTGTTATCAAGCAGGTTAGCATAACCTTGTGTCAGTCTATTTTAACCCCAGATAAACCCGCGAAGGTCTGGGTTAGAATGAACCTACAGTAACCCATGCTTGTCGTAAGAGGCGACTAACGGGATCGCGTTGTCAGGCTGTCTGACTTGGTTGACACATGTCATCGTATCCCAATTGTGCAGATCGATGCTCATGCTGTTGATCACTGGATTGTCTGGTCCAGACTCGATTATTTACAGACCGCCGCCATATAGCTGGAATATTGCTGAGTGCGGCATAAAGCTAAACTGACTCACTCACACACAGCCTGAGAAACAAACTAGCCAAACATGACAAAGCTACATTCTTTGGATTGCTCTTTTTGTGTGAGCTGCTAGTGATGATGTTTGTGTTGCAGACCAACATCCGCAGCAACATGCGCGGCCACATGCTGGAGCAGACTCGCAGACAGGAGGAGGTGAGGGAGGATACTCTGAAACGACTCGCCACAGAGAGGATGCTGGACGCCAACATGCGCAGCGAGGAGAGGATCGATGACAAACGCTTCTTGCGTCGTCAGCAGTTAGAGAATAAGGAGCGGGAGATGGAAGAGTCGATACTACGGGTGAGTTGTCATACTCAGTGTCAGAAAGGGTGAGATGTCATACTCAGTGTCAGTAGGATGACATGTCATACAGTGTGTCAGTAGGGTGAGATGTCATGCATTGTGTCAGCAGGGTGAGATGTGATACACTGTCAGTAGGGTGAGATGTCATACACTGTGTCATACACTGTCAGCAGGGTGGGATGTGATACACTGTGTCAGTAGGGTGAGATGTCATACACTGTCAGTTGGGTGAGATGTCATGCACTCAGTAGGGTGAGATGTCATAGTGTCAGTAGGGTGAGATGTCATACACTCAGTAGGGTGAGATGTCATACAGTGTCAGTAGGGTGAGATGTCATGCACTGTCAGTAGGGTGAGATGTTATACACTATGTCAGTAGGGTGAGATGTCATGCACTGTCAGTAGGGTGAGATGTCATACAGTGTCAGTAGGGTGAGATGTCATGCACTGTCAGTAGGGTGAGATGTTATACACTATGTCAGTAGGGTGAGATGTAATGCACTGTGTCAGCAGTGTTCAAAATACCTGCCTGCTCGACCGCCCGGGATGGATTATTTTCAACATAGACTGCCAGATTCTCAAATTCACCTTCTTGATGGTCGGGTTAAAATTTGGACATGTAGGACAGGCAAGGTTTGGTCAGGGCTGGCAAGTTTTACATCTAACCAGCCCTGTGGTCTGGCTGAAATTTTGGGAGTTTCTAATGCTGGTGTCAGTAGGGTGAGATGTCACACTGTGCCAGTTTAGTGGAGATATGTTGTGTTGTTTGAACACGTTGTTGACTTAAGATGTTGCTGTTGTGTTGTAGTCGGAGCGAGACAGGCTGTTGAAGGAACAACAGCGTGAGCAGGAGGAGCAACTGGCTCAACAGCTGGAGAAGATGAGCCAGGAGAAGACAAAGGATGAGAAGATGAGGCAACAGATCCGAGAAACTAGGTAACGCCCCCACACCTACGTTATAACCGCGCATAGATCAAAGTGGAAGATATTCACCATGTGACCTTGACCTGCTAGATGATGAACACTGCTGGCTGGTTGTCTGCAGACAAAGTGTGTTGACGCCGACTTGAATCAAATTATGGCAATTACCCGAAGGTTTCCGAGAATACTATCAGTGATCTGATTGGCTATAAATAAAATATGTCCTATCAGATCTCTGGGTCTTTTCAGTGGGGGTTGATCGTGGCCAAGGTTGTTAATGACAAGCTTGCATGACACTGGTTTGTTTGCAATGAATAAATGTACTTTAACTCATTATTGCAGTTAGGAGTAAGTGTCTCGGAAAAAATGAAAATTAGGTGCCATCGATTCTGTGTGTTTTGGTGCATGTTTGTGTACAAGAAGGAGTAAGAAAGAAATTTTGCAAGTTGGCGGTACAAATTCCAGAGCAGGGATTTTGGCTCACAAGCTCCAAGACTCAAGCTTCAAATGTATGACTTCAGTTTTTGTAATCTATGTCTGATTTCATAGCTAAATTTGTTGGCTTGAAGTGTTTAGGTTTTATACGTATATTTACAAAGAGAGCAACTGGATGTGTCCTGGAACAAAGTTTGTGTGGTGACCTCGTTACACCCCTTTCCTTTTATATAGTGCTAGGGGCGGTGAGGTGGCCTAGTGGTTAGAGTGTTTGCTTGTCATGCCGAAGACCCGGGTTCAATTCCCTACGTGGGTACAATGTGTGAAGCCCATTTATAGTGTCCCCCGATGTGATATTGCTGGAATATTGCTAAAAAAGCGGCGTAAAACTAAAACTATGTCAGTCAGTCAGTTTATATAGTATTAAGACCCTGTCAGTGGCAATATATACCTTGATGCCAGTTTTTGCATTTACAAGCCCTTCTGGTTTTTACAGTCAAACTTTGGTTAATGTTATTGTTAGGAGTTCCCTGGATAATTACAATCTCACCCTCAAGTCTTGTAGTTTCCAACACCTATGATGTTTAAACTAATATTGACTCATGATATATTCAGATGAGAGGCTCTTATTGTCAAGGTCCTCTGTCAGAGAAACATCATATTAACAAAAGGGTATGTTTGGTGTAGTATCTCTATCAAGAGGACAGCTAATACATTTTATGTTCCTTTACTAGTGGTGGTACGATTAATTGAAATAATCGAAGATTGATCGCAGTGACCAAACGACCAAGCAATCGATCACATTTTCTCATAATTGAACATAAACGATTTTGGAACTACTGTTTTAGTCTTTGAAATACTTGACAACGGAACATATCGTTGAAGTGTCAGGGCCTGTAAACGTGTTTAATTCTTAGAAAACTCACTTCACTAACTGAAAAGCCATGACTGAATATTTCTTGAAGACTCCAGGAAGTTTATGTTCAAGACATATTAGTCATCACTGTAAAGTAACAAGTTGCATCATGTTGTAAATATCTGCAATAACAACCTGGATAGGAAAATCTGAAAAATGATGCTAACCAATTTTTTTCGATGATTGTTCGTTGGTAATGAAACAATCATCAATTGTGAGATTTCAACCAATTCCCAACACTATCCTTACATAATCTGGAATTATTGCAGCTTGTTCGTTATTCTGTATTTCTTGTTCATCCTCAGCCTGGAGCTGCGTGAGCTGGAGGCCAAGTTGAAGGCCGCTTACATGAACAAGGAGAGAGCGGCACAGCTGGCAGAGAAAGACGCTCTCAAGTTTGACCAGATGGTGGGTAGCACTCCCCTACACAGTATGAGTTACAGAAAGATGAGATATATCAAGACACGTTTTGGCAAAGGGGGAGGGGTTGTTTCTGCAAAATAACAAAGTTTTATGAATCATTTTATAACTGCGGTACATGCTGGTGGGTGGTTCTTTGTACAGTGAACAGTTCAAGGTCAGCAGGATTAGTTGTGGGGAGTGGTTAGATGGATTCCCGAGAGTTTATCAAGCTTTAGTGATGCCCACACTTAACATACATCTATTGCACACATGCGGTGGATCCTTATATCCAGATGGGATTTCTGGTGTCCCCCGCTGTGATGTTGCTGGAATATTGCTAAAAGCAGCATAAAACTGACTCACACATATCAAGTATTCAAGGCGTACTGTTTGTGTGTTGTAGAAGCGAGACAGCCAGATTGCCCGGGAGATGAAGGAGCAGCACGACCGGGCTGCAGAGGCGGAGCAGGCACGTCAGATGGAGCGCTACAAGGAGCAGGTTCGGTACCAGCAGGAGCTGGAGAGACAGCTGGAAGAACAGGAAGTCCGGCGCCAACAGGCATACGAGGAGTTCCTCAAGGAAAAGCTCATGATAGACGAGATCGTACGGAAGATCTACGAAGAGGACCAGAGGTACCTTAACTACTCTTGTCTGGGACTATTGATACTCTTGTCTGGGACTATTGATACTCTTGTCTGGGACTATTGATACTCTTGTCTGGGACTGTTGATACTCTTGTCTGGGACTGTATCTGGGACTATTGATACTCTTGTGTGGGACTATTGATACTCTTGTCTGGGACTGTTGATACTCTTGGCTGGGACTATTGATAGTCTTGTCTGGGACTATTGATACTCTCGTCTCGGACTGTTGATACTCTTGTCTGGGACTGTATCTGGGTCTATTGATACTCTTGTGTGGGACTATTGATACTCTTGTCTGGGACTGTTGATACTCTTGGCTGGGACTATTGATACTCGGACTATTGATACTCTTGTGTGGGACTATTGATACTCTTGTCTGGGACTATTGATACTCTTGTGTGGGACTATTGATACTCTTGTCTGGGACTGTTGATACTCTTGTCTGGAACTATTGATACTCTTGTCTGGGACTATTGATACTCTTGTCTGGGACTATTGATACTCTTGTCTGGGACTATTGATACTCTTGTGTGGGACTATTGACACTCTTGTCTGAGACTATTGATACCCTCGTCTCGGACTGTTGATACTCTCGTCTCGGACTATTGATACTCTTGTGTGGGACTATTGATACTCTTGTCTGGGACTGTTGATACTCTTGTCTGGGACTATTGATACTCTTGTCTGGGACTATTGATACTCTCGTATGGGACTGTTGATACTCTTGGCTGGGACTATTGATACTCTTCTCTTGGCGGACTATTGATACTCTTGTCTCGACGGACTATTGATACTCTTGTCTTGGACACTATCAATATCTAGGACTATTGATACTCTTGTCTCGACGGACTATTGATACTCTTGTCACAGCGGACTATTGATACTCTTGTCTTGGACACTATCAATATCTAGGACTATTGATACTCTTGTCTTGGACACTATCAATATCTAGGACTATTGATACTCTTGTCTCGACGGACTATTGATACTCTTGTCTCGACGGACTATTGATACTCTTGTCACAGCGGACTATTGATACTCTTGTCTCGGCGGACTATTGATACTCTTGTCATAGCGGACTATTGATACTCTTGTCTTGGACACTATCAATATCTAGGACTATTGATACTCTTGTCTTGGACACTATCAATATCTAGGACTATTGATACTCTTGTCTCGACGGACTATTGATACTCTTGTCTCGATCTATTGATACTCTTGTTTGTTTCGGACTATTGATACTCTTGTCTTCGGCGGACTATTGATACTCTTGTCTCACAGCGGACTATTGATACTCTTGTCTCAGCGGACTATTGATACTCTTGTCTCAGGCGGACTATTGATACTCTTGTCACAGCGGACTATTGATACTCTTGTCTCGGCGGACTATTGATACTCTTGTCTCGGCGGACTATTGATACTCTTGTCTCGGCGGACTATTGATACTCTTGTCACAGCGGACTATTGATACTCTTGTCTCAGCGGACTATTGATACTCTTGTCTCGGCGGACTATTGATACTCTTGTCACAGCGGACTATTGATACTCTTGTCTCGGCGGACTATTGATACTCTTGTCTCGGCGGACTATTGATACTCTTGTCTCGACGGACTATTGATACTCTTGTCTCGGACGGACTATTGATACTCTTGTCTCGGCGGACTATTGATACTCTTGTCACAGCGGACTATTGATACTCTTGTCACAGCGGACTATTGATACTCTTGTCTCGGCGGACTATTGATACTCTTGTCACAGCGGACTATTGATACTCTTGTCACAGCGGACTATTGATACTCTTGTCTTGGACACTATCAATATCTAGGACTATTGATACTCTTGTCTTGGACACTATCAATATCTAGGACTATTGATACTCTTGTCTCGACGGACTATTGATACTCTTGTCTCGACGGACTATTGATACTCTTGTCACAGCGGACTATTGATACTCTTGTCTCGGCGGACTATTGATACTCTTGTCACAGCGGACTATTGATACTCTTGTCTTGGACACTATCAATATCTAGGACTATTGATACTCTTGTCTTGGACACTATCAATATCTAGGACTATTGATACTCTTGTCTCGACGGACTATTGATACTCTTGTCTCGGCGGACTATTGATACTCTTGTCTCGGCGGACTATTGATACTCTTGTCTCGGCGGACTATTGATACTCTTGTCTCGGCGGACTATTGATACTCTTGTCTCGGCGGACTATTGATACTCTTGTCTCGGCGGACTATTGATACTCTTGTCTCGACGGACTATTGATACTCTTGTCTCGGCGGACTATTGATACTCTTGTCTCGGCGGACTATTGATACTCTTGTCACAGCGGACTATTGATACTCTTGTCTCTTGTCTCGCGGACTATTGATACTCTTGTCTCGGGACGATACTCTGACTATTGATACTCTTGTCTCAGCGGACTATTGATACTCTTGTCTCGGCGGACTATTGATACTCTTGTCTCGGGGACTATTGATACTCTTGTCTCGGCGGACTATTGATACTCTTGTCTCGCGGACTATTGATACTCTTGTCTCGGGGACTATTGATACTCTTGTCTGGGACTATTGATACTCTTGTCTCGACGGACTATTGATACTCTTGTCACAGCGGACTATTGATACTCTTGTCTCGGCGGACTATTGATACTCTTGTCTGGGACTATTGATACTCTTGTCTCGACGGACTATTGATACTCTTGTCACAGCGGACTATTGATACTCTTGTCTCGACGGACTATTGATACTCTTGTCACTGCGGACTATTGATACTCTTGTCACAGCGGACTATTGATACTGTTGTCTGGGACTGTTGATACTCTTGTCTCGACGGACTATTGATACTCTTGTCACAGCGGACTATTGATACTCTTGTCTGGGACTGTTGATACTCTTGTCTCGACGGACTATTGATACTCTTGTCTTGGACACTATCAATATCTAGGACTATTGATACTCTTGTATCAGTACTGTGGCAAAACATTTGAGCTACCATTTTCAGAAATTTTTTGGTTAATTCTATAGCCTGTTATTAGCAGAATGTTGTGGACAAACCAGAATTTAACTAGACTTGGGATTCAGACAATTGACTAAAGTTGCAGACAGCTTTGTCACCTCTGAGCTCGATTAAACATACGTATATGTACAGTGTGGAACTTTATTTAGTCCTTTCACTCTGGTAATATTTGTGTGTGTCTAATAAGCTGAGCTTATTATTGTCCAGATTAAATTCTACTGAAAATATTTTCAAAGGACAAGTTCTGGGCTTGTAGATGCATTATATCAATGCAGGTGATCATCCTGGTCCTGTGGACTGTTGCCTGGGAGCAGTCACTAGATTGTCTGGTCCAGCAGGGATCATGTGTGCATGGTTACAGTCATGCTGCAAATTGCATTATGGATGAAACCAGAAACACTGACCAAATCAGATGGTTTTTGGAAATGGATAATTAATGTTCCTGGAGTAGTTAAAGTGTTTGCTCTTCACGCTAATTCCATGGTTCGAAGCCCATTTTCCCTGTTCCGGCCTTGGTACAGCTGTAATATTGGTAAAGAAAGGCTGCTTAGAAATTAGTTCACTCATTCATTTAATGTACCACTATGTGTGTGTGTACATGTTAGGGCTCCGCAATAGAACTGGTTTACCGGTATTTACCAGTTCAGACATGAAAACGATACGTATTGCGATACGCTGATCGAAAACCGGTATTTTGACATGCATTCGGAAAACTTCGTAACACTCGGAAATCTTCCGGTAATATTTCCGTTTTGTAAATTGTTCTTTTCCCTGTTTCATTAGTGCCAAATGTTACTTACATTTTCATTTTGTCATGATTAAGAGTTTTTATGAAAGGTTAATCAATCATAGTGATTTTGTTGTGTTTTTGCTTTATAATCAAGCATTAACTCGATTATAAGTAGTTTTTGTTAAAAAAATAATTCTTGCAATATATTGCAATACATATCGCAATATATGCTTCCGCATCGCAATATATCGCAATATGAAAATTCTCTGCAATACCCACCCCTAGTACATGTGTGTGTGTACATGTGTGTGTGTACATGTGTGTGTGTACATGTGTGTGTACATGTGTGTGTGTACGTGTGTGTGTACATGTGTGTGTGCGATTGTGTTGTAGGGATACCGAAAGGAACCTCCAGAAGCGGAAGGCGACACAGGCATACATCTCTGAGTTCAAGAAGGCCCGCGAGGAGTGGAAGGAGTTGGAGCGACGTCGAATGGAGGAGGAGAACATGCGCATCTTGCAGTTTGCCAACGTGCAGAAGGAGCGCGAGGATGACTTCCGCCAACAGAAGATGGAGAAGGAACAGGCCATGGAACGCATGCAAAAAGAAGTGAGGCTTACATCACAAACAGTTGTAGACAGAAACTGATCTGTCTGCAGCTGTACCACTACGACTGACTGAAGTGTTTCTGCGTTTATCTATTTAATATGGCTGCGGTGGGGTAGCCTAGTGGTTAAAGCGTTGGCACGTGATGCCGAAGACCCAGGTTCGAATCCCCACATGGGTACAATGTGTGAAGCCCATTTCTGGTGTCCCCCGCTGTGGTGTTGCTGGAATATTGCTAAAAGCGGCGTAAAACTAAAGTCACTGTTTATTATGAATAAGCAAATTTGATTTAGTTTAATTCAAAATCAAATTTGAAATCAAATCACATTTTGAGTATGTGTAGTAAAAACAATTCAGTTTGTATTGTCATGAAAGGCATTGCTATATAAATCAGTGGTATTGTCTCAGTGAGATTTCCATAATGAGGGGAACACACTATTAAACTGATGCTGGATGTAACAAATACCACAACTGGCAAACAATGTCTGTCTGTCTGTGTTGCAGCTGTCGGAGCAGATAGCCAAGAAGGATGCAGAACGCGAGGAGATGGAGCGAGTCAGGCTGGAGCTGTATCTGGAGGAAGAGGAAGAGAAGGCTCGACAGCAGGAGCGGGTCAGTACCTTCACTGCAGGGAGCTGTGGGTTCAAACTCAGAAACGTGGCAGTTTTTCCTAAATTAATATAAGGAGAGAGTGACAAGTCTGGGCACGTCACATGGTACGTTTGCGCGGGAAAGAGGAAGGGAGGTAACTTGTGGGTGAGTATTGTACGTCCGCTTCGGGAACTTCAAGGGATTCAAGTGTTCCACTACCATTCGAAAGGGAAAGGGAGATAAGCAAAGATCATGAGTCAGGATAAGTATAAAATATAAATTTTACTTAAAAAATTACATTGTTGACTGGTGTCTCACCTCAGAAGGAGTTGAACTGTAAACCTTGGTGTCACGTGCCCTGTGTACAACAGGACACTAATCAGGTGAAGCGATGACGGTTGTATGGAGTAGTTGGAGCGCTGACAGCTGGACTCCTTGAGAGTTTCTGGAATTTCGTTAATGCCTCACAATGTAGGAAACAAATGTGGTGCCTCCTTAAGGCATTTGCCTCTCTTTATCCAGCAGTGAATAAGTATCTGGTAGGATGACATAATAGGATTCCCGGGCTCCTTTCAAAGAATACCAGTAAAGAAGCTGAGAATGAATATTTAGTGCATTTATCACTAAAACCATGCGTGTGCTCAGGCGGAGATGTAGAGCAAGCTTCTGTCTTTGTATTCTCCTCAGGGAGCTGAGAATGAATATGTAGCACATTTATAACTAAAACCATGTGTGTGCTCAGGCGGAGATGTAGAGCAAGCTTCTGTCTTTGTATTCTCCTCAGGGAGCTGAGAATGAATTTGTAGCACATTTATAACTAAAACCATGTGTGTATTCAGGCGGAGATGTAGAGCAAGCTTCTGTCTTTGTATTCTCCTCAGGGAGCTGAGAATGAATTTGTAGCACATTTATAACAATAACAATGTGTGTATTCAGGCGCAGATGTAGAGCAAGCTGCTGTCATTGTATTCTCCTCAGGGAGCTGAGAATGAATTTGTAGCACATTTATAACTAAAACCATGTGCGTATTCAGGCGGAGATGTAGAGCAAGCTGCTGTCATTGTATTCTCCTCAGGGAGCTGAGAATGAATTTGTAGCACATTTATAACTAAAACCATGTGTGTATTCAGGCGGAGATGTAGAGCAAGCTGCTGTCATTGTATTCTCCTCAGGGAGCTGAGAATGAATTTGTAGCACATTTATAACTAAAACCATGTGTGTATTCAGGCGGAGATGTAGAGCAAGCTTCTGTCTTTGTATTCTCCTCAGGGAGCTGAGAATGAATTTGTAGCACATTTATAACAATAACAATGTGTGTGTTCAGGCGCAGATGTAGAGCAAGCTTCTGTCTTTATATTCTCCTCAGGGAGCTGAGAATGAATTTGTAGCACATTTATAACTAAAACCATGTGTGTATTCAGGCGGAGATGTAGAGCAAGCTGCTGTCATTGTATTCTCCTCAGGGAGCTGAGAATGAATTTGTAGCACATTTATAACTAAAACCATGTGCGTATTCAGGCGGAGATGTAGAGCAAGCTGCTGTCTTTGTATTCTCCTCGGAGCTGAGAATGAATTTGTAGCACATTTATAACTAAAACCATGTGTGTATTCAGGCGGAGATGTAGAGCAAGCTGCTGTCATTGTATTCTCCTCAGGGAGCTGAGAATGAATTTGTAGCACATTTATAACTAAAACCATGTGTGTATTCAGGCGGAGATGGAGCGCAAGCTGCGACAGAGGATCGATCTGCAGGACACCCACTCCAAGCAGATGCATTTTAAGGCTCTCAGGCTCCAGGCTGAGAAAGATGAGGAAGAGGTCTTCAGACAACAGGTAATGCATGTCCATATTGAGTTCAAATAAATCTAAATTTAACAATGTAGAATTGCTGTTAATTTGAGTGAACTATTAGAACACAATTCCTTCCTGAGTTCTGCATCCTAACTGTTGTATGTGTAGATGTTGGCGAAGTTTGCGGAGGATGATCGTATCGAGCAGATGAACGCTCAGCGGCGTCGTATGAAGCAGCTGGAACACAAGCGTGCAGTGGAGACTCTGCTGGATGAGAGGCGGGCGCAGTATGCCATGGAGAGGCAGCGAGAGGTGGAGGCTCGGGAGGGGGAGGTCAGGATGGAGAACTTCCGGCGACAGATTATCGAGGAGGAGAGGCAAAGGCTGCTGAAGGAGCATGCAGGCAGGCTGCTGGGATACCTGCCCAAGGTAGGAGGTCAAGGTCAAAATGAAAAGGTCACACAGGCAGCCATATGGCTGGTTACCTGCCAGTGGTTATTAGTGTAGGGCATCTAGGGGTCAAGGTCAAAATCATAATCACACAGACAGGCTGCTGCCCAAGGTAGGAGGTCAAGGTCAAAATGAAAAGGTCACACAGGCAGCCATATGGCTGGTTACCTGCCAGAGGTTATTAGTGTAGGGCATCTAGGGGTCAAGGTCAAAATCATAATCACACAGACAGGCTGCTGGGATACCTGCCCAAGGTAGGAGGTCAAGGTCAAAATGAAAAGGTCACACAGGCAGCCATATGGCTGGTTACCTGCCAGAGGTTATTAGTGTAGGGCATCTAGGGATCAAGGTCAAAATCATAATCACACAGACAGGCTGCTGGGACCTGCCCAAGTTAGTAGAGTAGGGCAGCTATTGGTCAAGGTCAGCAACATGGGGGCACATAGGAAGGCTCCTGGGATATCTGCCCAAGTTAAGTAGCTTAGTACAGCTGGGTTCAAGGTCAGGAGCAGAAGGGGTCACTCTAGCATGCTGTTGGGAAACCTGCCAGAGGTCAGCAGATTTGAGAGAAGGTCAGCCAATGGGGATCAAGGAATGCCACAGTGTATGTTATTGGAACATTGGAGGACACTGTTGAGTTTGCACCTGTACAATTGGTAATTGTGTTGCAGGGGGTGATTCGAGACACCCAGGACCTACAGATGCTTGGCCCCGAGTTCCGCAACGCTTACAGACAGAGGCAGATCGACCCCTTCGACGAGACCGCCTGGGATCAAAGTGCCCGATAGTTACCCAACCACGCCAACATTTGTCCATACGAACACAACAGAGTGTCGACACTGTCTGCACTCTTCACATATCTTTGTTTACAAATGTTCATGTATGTTTTCAATCACAAGATAATGCTAACTATTTGTGTCTCATTTTCCCTGTGAACATGTGCATGGCCTGGAGATGCACAGTAAATTCCCAGCATTTCGAAGACAATTTCATAATGGAAGTAAATTTATTGTTTTTATCTGTTCATTTACAAGATGTTTCACATTTCTGGGTTTGTCTCAGCTATTTGTTTTGAACATTTTTTACCATGGACTTATGGTTTAAGCTGCAAGTTTCCAGTATTATGTATTATCAACTATGGCCGTTGAAACCGATGTGGAACGGTCCCAAATGTTTTGTCAACACGCAGATGTAGTGGCTGTCTTGGATGTGGCCTGGCCGACGTTCCCCACTACTCCGTCCATACACTTCACCCTCAGTAGACATCACCAGTCAATTTTGTACTTGAGTGTTTTAATGTAGAACTTTTTACATAGTTCAATTGTCAGTTTTAGCTGATGCCATTTATTGTGTTTTAACTTCACAGTCTTTGAAAAATGATTACTGATGTCAAATTTAATTTATTGATAAGCACAATGATTATGACTAAGATAAACTGTAATGGAATAATGGCAGTGGAGTATCTCCACTGTATCAGCCTAAGTGTGTACTGTACGGCTGTGGTGTAAGTATGTTTGTATATATCTATCTGTAGATCTACACTGTAAATAGAGACAGTTGTATATATACAAGAACGTCAGCTGCTGTGATGGAAGTAAATGCTTGTAAATCTCTCTCCGTGTTTGTTGTCCAATCTCAACGTCCTGAAGACCCATGCCTCTGACATGACAGCTTGAAACATTGGAAGAAGGTTGGATGGCCTGTCATGGTTGGCTTGATTGCATGTAATGTAGATGGAATGCTCACAACTTGATTTGTGGGGTAGCCTACTGGTTAAGGTGTTCGCTCATCACGGCACAGACCCAGGTTTGATTCCCAACATGGTTGCATTGTGGGAAGCCCATTGATATTGCTGGAATATTGTTTAAAGTGACGTAAAGCTAAAGTCACTCACTCACTTGATTTTGTGGTCCAAGGGAGTGTTGGGCGGGGCGTTAAACAACAAACTGGGATTGTTACTTCATCTGACTGTTTTCTCTGTGGATGCTCGCGTTATCAATTACTGGTTTGTCTGGTTGCCATGGTGCAACTCACAACCTGAATTCACTCCCAAGCCAACCAGGGTACCAACAAGTGTAACTAACATCTCTTTGTATGACAAGCGACAAACTATTGTCGGCACACCTGGCAAGAGGCGACTAATGGTATTGGGTGGTCAGGCTCGCAGACTTGGTTGACATATGTCATTGTATCCTAATTGTGTAGAATCATGAAGTCCAAACGTTAGGGGAAAATGCTGCTCAGGGAAACTTATTTCACCCCCGCTCTGGATCCGCCCTAGAGGCTTTTACCTCGCACCGACATTCCCTGGTCCACACAAAGTACTCAGAAGAATCTATTATAAGCATTTATTGCAGTTGATTTTCTCATGTAGATTACATGTTGGGATATTTACAGTGAGTAGAAAAATAGCTGGGAATATACACAAGGATGATTACAAGCAAATAGAGAGAACAGTCACGGAGCTAAGCTGTACAGGAGATGTATATACACGGTATCACACATCCACGATGATACCAGTGAATATAGATGTATAGTCACATAGCTAGGCTGTACAAGATGTATATACACTGTATCATTAACACAGATGATACTAGTGAATATAAACGTATAGTAACAAGGCTAAGCTGTACAAGTAGATGTATAAACAGTCTCATATATATATATATATGTATAGGATAAAACTCTGCAAGCCAATAACACAGATAAAATAGGTAGTCTCACTCAATCTAGACCATATTAGTAGATATCAGCATCTGTAAGGTCACTATGACCCAGCCATGGTAGGTCAAGGTCACCTGTTACGAGGTGATCATCGTGACCCAGTGCTGTTAGGTTAAAGTCACCCTGATACACAGTCCTGTTAATTTACTCCATTGCCTTTTTTAGGTCAAGGTCAGAAAATGGTCATTGACCTGGCAGGTCATCGTAACCCAGTTTTGTTAGATTACCATAACCCAGTCCAATGGGTCAACCTGACAAACACCTGTTGGATCACTGACCCCGCTCTTACGTCAGCATGACCTAGTAATTTAGGTCACCATGACCCAATCTTGCTAGGTCACCATAGTTATTTGTGGTTATGTCACCCTGACCCATCTGTCATGTCATCCTGACCCAGTCTTTTAGTTTACCCTGACAAAGTTGTTTTAGGTCAGTGCGACCCAGGTCTAGTTTGAGTGTGACCCACATACAACAGGTAACACAAGACATGTCTAACACATGCTACGTATACATCACACAGCTGGTGTAGAATCTAACACATCCACATCACTGAGCCACTCACAGACAGGCTGCAGGGCTAAAACCACCTTGTAAAACGCTGTCAGTCGTAAATCAGACAAATCTATCAAAACATGAAACTAGGATTTTATCAAACGTGGTTAAGTGTCACCAAGTAAACAAGCACTATCATAAAGCTCCTGATTATAGCTACAAGCCACGTTGTGTTCATGAAGTTGTCTTCGTAATTGGCTTGCTGGTCCAAAGGGCTGTGGTTTGCTATTAAGGATACAGTTATCAGTAGTCAAACGTCGGGACGTCAGTTATCCACTGTGGTAATTTTGATACAAATACCACAAGCCTAGAAAATATCTGCTAAGCACAGGCAAAATAAAAAAAAAGTATCTTCAGCAGTTTGCTGACAATGGTACTGCCATGACTGTAGAGAGAACTACACTCAGAATGCTGAATTTTACACCAATTTCTCCACATGCTGGAAGTCCAGTCAAAGTAGTATCTATAAACACCTTACCACACTGTTAAGAAGGAATCCGACCCAGGTCTCGGTGGGTATCATACAGTCTGTGGTTTGTATCTCAAAGTAGAATTGGGAAACAGAATCTCACTGTGTGTGTTTGATATGAAATATTTCAACATGAGAAGAAAACAACTGCAAACGGCTTTCAAGAATTTGTCGCATCAGTTGTTTCATATAATGTGACACTTTTCACATTAAAACGCAAGGGTGATATTTTGCTTACAGCCTCAAATCATTTTTCAAACTAATTTTGTAAACAGTAACAATTGATGTTCCGATTGTGAAAAGTACAGCTCACCAGCATCAGCAGCCGAGACAGGCGGAGTAATTTGATTGTGTTGTCATAGCAATTTCATCGTAGTGATGACTTCTGTGGAAGCTTGCATGGGATGAACATGAAGGTGTTTTAACTCATTCTATGAGCACAGAAATGTACAAAGCTTTAAAGTCCTAAAGACTCATGATGACATTAGTGACTTCTAGACACATTCATGGCAAATTTGTGCTGAGATTATGGTATATCATATAAACAGATCTTCAATATCACACATGTATCACAAAATTCATTATCAAAAGATGGGAAACAAAGACAATCATTCCTTTGTTTCTGTATAATACTTTTAATAAATTAATTTTTGTGAAATTTTTTACCATTTTATCCATTACTAATTTTTTAAAGTTTACATCTTAAATGATCCAGACAATATTCATTTCAATTTTAAAAAAATATTGACACAAAAGTAAACCAAAATAATTAACAAATGTTATGCTTAGTTTCTTAAAGTAAGGACTACAAATCCACACTGTCAACTATTATATGACACTGAATGACCCCACCCAATTGGGTGCCTATTCTAAAAATGAAAAATTCGAAAAAAACTATAAAACGACAAAAAAACAAAAGATGAAATATTTTAAAATCACGAAATCAAAAAGCTAGAAATTGGGGCTGTCACGAACACCATACAACATGACACACCCTGTAAGTTGATAACCTCCAGAATCCAACAACCTGTTTGGTATGGACAGTGCGAGATCAGGGACAACATCTGAGGCTATTACCTCTACCAGTGCGTAATCATAAAATTTGAAAATGTACAAACAATTGAAAAATTTAAAGATAACACTGTGCTTCATCATAATACAGAGAACCTGACGTAACGTCAACAAGAAATAGCTGCTAGAAGAAAGCTTCATTAAAGTATCCATTGCCACAAAGTGTTCAGGATTAAAGCAAATTCGTGAAAAGTAATGACACATTAGAGTTAAGAAACGCAAATGGAAAAGTGCTACTATGAAAGTTGATATTGTAACTGTTTATACTACAAAGTCTACTATGAAAACAGTATTGTCAGTCCTGTCACTGATCATTCTATAAAGTTCTATGAAAACAGTAAATTAGTCAGTGTTTTAACTGAAAGGTCATCAGACAATATCTGACCCATAAATCTCACTCCAGTAACATGTTAAGTCACCTTGACCCAATTCGTGACGTCATGTTGGCACAGTCATGCTAGGTCTCCCTGACCCAGTTGTATCAGGTCACCCTGACCCAGTCATGTTGGGTCACCCTGACGCAGTCATGTTGGGTCACCCTGATCAATCCAGTCAAATAAACCGATGCACTTGTGTCAGGTCAGCCCCACTCCATCAGGTCCGGTCAGGTCCGGTCCGGTCAGGTCAGGTCAGGTCAAACAGATCTTGTCTGGTCACCCTCAATACTTTCACGACCCATTTGTCTAAACCCAGGCATAAATAACCCGAATTAACCCAGACACTAGTCACAAAAATTGTTTCCATGTATCAGTATTTGACATTCTGTATTCAATTATGACAAACCGAACATTGAATATCCCCGTGCTTATATTTCAGCTGGTATGAAGATCATTGAATTGAAATGTTCATTAGCTGCTCGTACTATCTGATTGGTTGGCATGGCAACTGAGGCTTCTGATTGGTTGAAGTTTGATACAGCACCAAACAAAGCATGAGTGGACGTCACACAGTCACACAGACACATGACACATGACATTAAGGCCAGACAGAGAAGGCACAGTAGCCTCGCCACCAACAACATCTACAACATCATACACTGCTACAATGACAGCAGCAACTTGATGACATCACCATCCTAGAGCTCACCTACCTACACGTTGGAATGGATTAATGACAACATCAACACAACGTTTAGCCATCGACACACATGCCTGGAACAACACAGGGATTAAATACCTCATTTCTTGAACAAGTCAAGTTAGGTCACCCCAACCTAGTCGTGTCAGGTCACTATGACCCAGTCATTCAAGCTCATGCCAACCTAGTCGTAACAGGTCACCATGACCCGGTCATATAAGGTCACTCCCAACCGAGTCGTGTCGGGTCACCGTGACCCAGTCATGTAAGGTCACCCTCACCTAGTCATGTCAGGTCACCGTGACCCAGTCATGCAAGGCCATGCCAACCTAGTCGTGTCGGGTCACCATGACCCAGTCATGCAAGGTCACACCAACAGTGGCCAAGTGAAGTTAAGTCAAACGTACCTTGCCAAACCGGGTCACCATGACCCAGTCATTTTAAGTCACTGCATCCAAAAACATCTGCTTATGAAAAAAAAGCTAAACTATGACCGGAAAACACATCACCTGACAAGTGCAACCTATAAGTTGTTCCTGTACAAGAACTCATGTGACTTTTTCCTGCAAGTATAAGTAACACAATCTACACAGCTTACACGTTAATTATGAAATAGAATGGTTCAATTTCTCAGCTGCATCAGAGATGCAAGTGTATCAATGGAAACACTGCTAGATGGAGGGACAGCAGCAGCTGAAGCACAACACTGCATGGAGGTGGGTAGGGGTGAAATGGTTTTTATATTCCACAATACGATACATGATTTTTATATTCCACAAAACGATACATGATTTTTTTCTGTGTTTCAATACAACACAATTTGTTAAAAAATTAATCTTGTCAACATTTTTGTCCTTCAAATGATAAAATATGCCCTAAAAGGCAAGAATTTATGGATGTCAACTTCTCTGTGTTAAAGAACACGCCTATTTGCAGAGATGCCAACCTCAAAGTATTGCAAATGGTAGTTTCATGGATCAAAATTAGTATTTTGACCATAACATTAGTAGTCAACTAAATAGTGACTGAAAAATCCACATTGCAAAGTCGACAAAATGCATGGAAATCGTAACATCGAGATTTTTTTAAACAGCTGAATGTTTCAGATTTCAGATATATACTTTGTTACTTGAAATGACTCCAGTTCAGATATGTCATTAAATTTGATGAATTGAAGGTAAGTGAAGTCGAAAAATGTATTTAATCGATGAAAATATGTTTTTGTCTATATATCAAAATTTTAATGAATTTTCTTCAAATTTCGTAGAATTTCTAGTACAATCGTATATGTGCAGTTCGAGGCTACAATTCGTAGCGACTATGATGAAATTGTAGAGGGTGGCATCTCTGTTTGTGTGTATCACTTCCAAATGCCGTTCAATGATTTTAAAGATGCCCTGTAATAGGTGTTTAGCTTACTAAAAAGGGCCACTACGAACATTTCTTCAGCCAGCTTTTCCAATTGAACCTGACCTGAAATTATTATTTTCATGAAGTTTCCATGTGATTTGATGTAAATATGCATACACATCGTATCAGACCTATCCACTCTGATCTGTATCGTATTGTGAAGTTGCTGTGTTGTTTCATCCTGAAGCTACTGGGTAATATTGTGTAAACAAAGACAACAGTTGGATAATAAAGTGTGTATACAACATCTGGGTAATATCGTGCATTATACAACATTTGGGTAATATGGTGCGTAACACAACAGATGGGTAATATCGCATAGCTATGAGTATTGTTACAACCTGGTGTAGTGACTATTCACAGTAGGGGCCTGAGGTACACAAGGAGGTGCCCTGAGGTACAGCTTACTGCAGAATGCTTGCCCTGGCTGCAAGAAAACACATTTGGCCTTTGGGTGTTTGGGATTGAGCACTATTCAACTACAGCGATTAAGGGGGAAATGTTAACATCAAGATTAATCATGGTCATGAATTACAGCACCTTAGTCATACAGGTTAGGGGCTGGTGATGTTTGACATAACCACAGCCTGATGTATGGATAACCTTTCTGTTGAGACAGGTGATCGGAGTGACAATGTAATTATTATTGCAGGTATATTATGACTTCGCACAGGGGCCCAAACAAAAGCGATGTGGTTGATACTGACTGTAACACTTTCTGTGGTAACAGCAAACATGGAGAACCATCCTACCAGTGATCCTGTACAGGACACTGAGATCTCTAGCACAAACACAGCGATCAACCATCCTACCAGTGATCCTCTACAGGGACAACATCCACACATGGACAGGACACTGAGATCTCTAGCACAAACACAGCGATCAACCGTCCTACCAGTGATCCTCTACAGGGACAACATCCACACATGGACATCTTAAGAGATAAACTAAAGTGTCGTCTGCTGTCTCAGGCAGACGTGTGACGTCTCATTTACTAGACAAATGTGTGACGTCTGTTTCCTTGGGCAGACGTGTGTGACGTCTGCTTCTTTGAGCAGACGTACCTGACGTCTGGTTCCTTAGGTAGATGTGTCTGCTGAAGTGTGTGACGTCTGCTCTTTTTGCAGACGTGTGTGATGCCTGTTCCACTGGGCAGACATATGTGTGATGTCTGCTTCCTTGGACAGACATGTGTGACGTCTGCTGCCCTAATATGGTCTTCTGCCTTGAGCAAAATGTGTGAGTGGTCTGCTGCTCAAGAAGTGTAAAGATCAAAACCTTCACTGCATTGTTATATCAATTCAGTTAGTCACATGCTGTTGCCATGGCAACCCACATATATGCATACAAATGTCCATCACTGTTACTATGGTATCAAGTATCAATCTTCAGGTTTATCAATGACATTCTAAATTTGATATTACATATCAACTGCTAACAGACAAAACATTTCACAACTTAGAATTATGATTCTACAAACAAAGGCACCCAAGAACTGAGAAAGAAGACATGTAAACTCACAGAGTGTAAGATGCAGTTGTATAAACACTATGCATTATGACAGCCGGTCATGCTGTTACCATGGCTACCACTCTGCCATGGCAACTTGTCATAGCAACCGATTAAGTGGTAACCATGGTGACCAGAAAAGTAGAAAGAGATCAAAGTTTGTTGACACCTTGTATCTGAGCTGGAGTAACTACAAGCTGTAGCTCGTCTACTGTCTACTTGTCTACTACGTTGCCACAGAGATCAATTCTATGGACTCCATGTACAAACTCACAATTGATATCAAACAGTAAATATAATGATAAACTGAATAAAAACAATATATCTACAACGGCAACACTGGATTGCCAGATCACTGTCTTAGCACTTATAACGTTCAGACAAGGGGACATAACTCTGTCAATGGGGAGATAACTCTGTATCTCCCTTAGATGGAGGCTGGGTTGCACAAACAGTGAACTCTAGTCTGTGACAAAACAAGTCATCTGAGGTACAACAGCTAAGAAATGACTTAACTAGACTTCACTAGGACTTTGGCTCAAACTGATTTCGTGAAAAATGAAGGTATGTAACGTAAATTGGGAATTTGTTAAATACAAACTGCTTAAACTGACCGTGTTCAGTGTTAAGGATAAACACCATTTATACAAGAACCTCGAGGGGACAAGCACAATCCCCAACCACAAACTGGAATTCAATATTTAATCATTTGGTAAAGGTGCACAGCAATAGCTGATCAAACTTGTGTTAACATGCTAAAGAAAATAGCTGATCAAACTTGTGTTAACATGCTAAAGAAAATAGTTGATCAAACTTGTGTTAACATGCTAAAGAAAATAGTTGATCAAACTTGTGTTAACATGCTAAAGAAAATAGCTGATCAAACTTGTGTTAACATGCTAAAGAAAATAGTTGATCAAACTTGTGTTAACATAATCAGGCACAGCTGACGAAACTTGAACATGCTAAAGAAAATAGTTGATCAAACTTGTGTTAACATAATCAGGCACAGCTGACGAAGATTGTGTTAACATGCTAAAGACAATAGTTGATCAAACTTGTGTTATCATAAATAGACACAGATGATAAAACTTGTGTTAACAACATGCCAAAGACAATAGTTATTCAAATTATGTTAACATGATCAAACAATATTTCATCAAAGATTTGTATATTCAACCTGGGAGCATTTGGTTAAACTTGTGCCAACTTGATCAGACTAGCTAATCAAAACTAGTCAACAGTCAACTAGTGCTAACAATAATAGACAACAATTGATCAAACTTTTGGTACATGGTCAGACAACAGTTTATCAAACTTGTATTAGCATGGTAAAGAGGACATCTTTTGTATGAACATCTAAAGATAATAGAGCCAATCATTGCTCAAACTTGTGTTGACATGTTCAGTCAATAGTTGAGTAAACTTGTGTTGACATGTTCAGACAATAGCTTATCAAACTTGTGTTGACATGTTCAGACAATAGTTGATCAAACTTGTGTTGACATGTTCAGACAATAGCTTATCAAACTTGTGTTGACATGTTCAGTCAATAGTTGATCAAACTTGTGTTGACACGTTCAGACAATAGCTTATCAAACTTGTGTTGACATGTTCAGACAATAGTTGATCAAACTTGTGTTGACATGTTCAGACAATAGCTTATCAAACTTGTGTTGACATGTTCAGTCAATAGTTGATCAAACTTGTGTTGACACGTTCAGACAATAGCTTATCAAACTTGTGTTGACATGTTTAGACAATAGTTGATCAAGCTTGTGTTGACATGTTCAGACAATAGTTGATCAAACTTGTGTTGACATGTTCAGACAATAGCTTATCAAACTTGTGTTGACATGTTCAGTCAATAGTTGATCAAACTTGTGTTGACACATTCAGACAATAGCTTATCAAACTTGTGTTGACATGTTTAGACAATAGTTGATCAAGCTTGTGTTGACATGTTCAGACAATAGATGATCAAACTTGTGTTGACACGTTCTGTCATTAGTTGATCAAACTTGCATCAACTCATTCAAAAATAGTTGAAAAAAATTGTTAACATGTTAGAAAATAGTTGATCAAACTTGTGTTACATGATCAGACAACAGTTTACCAAATTTGTGTTAACATTGTACAGACAATAGTTGATCAAACATAATCTGAGACAATAAATGTGTTGGCAAGATATGTTGAAACTGACAATATTCTGTCCTGAAGTTTTGTTCCATGTCGAGGGAGCCCCACCTCTGCACCACTGTGACTTACTTAAGCAATACACCACTGATATGTCTCTATATACAGCTCGACACAAGTCAAGCATCACCCTGCATTGACACAAGAGTGTCTGACCGGATCCCTTCTCCAGTGCTGATTTCGGTATAACAATTCACAAAACATTTTGCAGATATTTTGAAAACTTTCAATATATGATGGGGCATTCCTAAAGGTGACTTACATGTTGATGCAGATGTAGGTCATGAGGCAGGCTGTTGATCAAGCGAATATGGTACATAAATTTGTTATAAAAAACCCAACCATTTTTTTCTGCTAATTACAAGGTTAAACTACTGTTGATTTTCTATGGAGATTTATAGCACGTGGTGTCAAGCATTCTTCCTGTTATATGTTCAAATAAACCAAATAACTTGGTCTACTTGAAGTGGTCTGTCAACTACATCTACCAGTGTCGAACCTTTCTCTGAATGCCAGTCACATCTCCGTCCCAGTCCAACAGGGATGTCCTCTTGAATACAGCAGACCAGGAATTAGAATCCAATACACATCCTCCTTCAAACCCTCTCCAGTGTCCTGCTCATTAACTACTTGAGTTCTGAATCATCGAATTCACTTTCATTTCATGGAATTTAATAGTACACAGAGAAAGTATGGCTTTATTGGGAAAAAGGTGTCTCATGATGCAGTTTTCTTCCCTTTTCCTGCACTTCCCTTTTCCTCCCTATCATTGCCGTCGTCGTCGTCATCATCATCATCATCATCATCATCATCATCATCATCATCATCATCATCATCATCATCATCATCATCATCATCATCATCTTCATCATCATCATCGTCAAGGGTCTCTACTTCCTGCTGTGCAAGTGGTTCAGGAAGCACCCCCAGCTGGTCTGTTCACGTGGGACGACAATTCCTGTATCAGTGAACGAACGTGTGAACACTGCCACAGATCTTTCACATATAGACAGCACACCCAACTGTGATCTTTCTGAAGAGCTGCCCTTCTTGGAACAGAGTGATTGACATCTTGCCAAACTGAACAGAACATCACTGAATACACCTCCTTCACCTACCTACATCACTGAATACACCTCCTTCACCTACCTACATCACTGAATAGACCTCCTCTTCTTGGACCAGATCATTGACATCTTGCCAAACTGAACACACCTCCTTCACCTACCTACATCACTGAATACACCTCCTTCACCTACCTACATCACTGAGTGCACACGTCACAACCAACACAGCACTTTAAGATTCAGCTTATTTCTGGTAACAGCTCTTCCTTCAACACCACGGAATAAGAATATGGTCACCTGGTGTTGCTAGGTGACGTTGGGTCATGTGACCTGTACTGTCTGCTGACCTCTATAGGTCACGTCCCTGTAATGGTGAGACAGCCTTGTAATACTGGCAGATGTGGTTGAGCTTGTAAACTTTTTGTAACTTTTAGTGTATACAGTTGACCCCTCACCGGTCCATGAAGTCTGTTTCAGAATACTGAATTATGCCCTTAGTTATATTCCAGTATGTTTGATTACCTCCCTTGATAAACAATCAAGAAATTATTCCACCGCGTGACACCATCACCAGGTTCTGAAGGCAGCATACTGCATCAGTCCCTAACAAGAATGCATCACCAGAAAGATGTTTTATTTCTATTTAGATGGTGATATATCCACCCTATTTCCACGGTGACAGATCCACCCTATTTCCAAAGTGACAGATCCATCCTATTTCCATGGTGACAGATCCACCCTATTTCCACAGTGGCAGTTTTACCCTATTTCCACAGTGACAGATCCACCCTATTTCCACAGTGACAGATCCACCCTATTTCCATGGTGACAGATCCACCACAGTGACAGATCCACTCCGTTTCCACAGTGACAGATCCACCCTATTTCCACAGTGACATATCCACCCTGTTTCCACACTGACAGATCCCCCCTACGGTCACGGATTCACCCTATTTCCACAACGTCTGGTGAAGCTTGTCCAGCTCCATTTTCACCATGTGATCCTTCAGCTACAGATCTAGGACCTTCATTCATTCAGCATCGCCATGACGACACCATCATATCACACAGCTTCCCATGTTATACACAGTTCATCATTCACACAATAGTCTCGTATTGCACCATGTCACAGTGCGATATAGAAGGACATCACTCTGGTGTCAGTCCCATAGTCAGATGTGCCTCCCGATTCGTTTCAGTTCCTTACAGACCTCCTCAAACTTTGGCGGCCGCTCTGGCTGGTACTCCCAGCACCTCAACATCAGCGAGTACACCTCCGATGGCGTCCCCACAGGCCCCGGCATTCGGTAACCTTCAAAACAAAGACATGGACTTCAATGTTTATCTAGAGGTGTGGTGGATTAGTGGTGGGTAAATGGTGGGTGAAAAATGGGCTAGTTATTAGGGGGCGGCTGATGGACTAGTAATGGTGAGTTACAGGCTGGTCGTGGTGGGCGAGTTACAGGCTAGTCATGGCCGGTGAGTCACAGACTAGTAGTTGTCAGTTGAAGGCTAGTAGTGGTGGGTGAGTTACAGGCTAGTCGTAGTGGGTGAGTTACAGGTTAGTTTTAGTGGGTGAGTTACAGGCTAGTCGTAGTGGGTGAGTTACAGGCTAGTAGTGGTGGGTGAGTTACAGGCTAGTAGTGGTGGGTGAGTTACAGGCTAGTCGTAGTGGGTGAGTCACAGGCTAGTAGTGGTGGGTAAGTTATTGGCGAGTAGTAGTCAGTTTCTCCAGTATGTATGTTATACTCACCATCTTCGATCTTCTCTCGTGACTGTCCGTTTGTCCAGCCGGGGTAGGGTGTTGTTCCACAGGAGAAGACCTCCCACATAAGAATCCCGTAACTCCACACATCACAGATTGTTGTATATTTACCTGAAGACAACAGTATCAACAACAGATCATTGTGACGCATGAGTAACAAACTAGTGGTCAATATTGTGAACAACCTACCATCAGAAACATCTTGAAAACGCTGAAAATGTTTTGTGGTGGAAATCTATTAATATGTGAAACTGTTTTCCTGAAGGGAGATTAAAGACAGATGTGCAACCATTTTTTAGGATGTTAAAGTGTTTTGCTGGGGCAGAAATATGAAAGTAAAGCATTTCTGTAGGGGGTTGTATAAGAACTGTGAAACCATTTTGTCTGGTTGGACTTTGTTGGGAGATGAAGCAACATGGAGGCAGTGTACTGACCGTAGTTGAGTGCCTCGGGTGCTGTCCACTTGATGGGAATCTGCTTCATGCCCTCGGACACCGTGTACTCTTCCTCCTCACGCGACATCCCGGAGTCGGAGATCTTCACGATGTTGGATTCTCCCACGAGGCAGTTCCGGGCCGCCAGATCCCTGACAGGCACAACATACACCCATTGTACTCAAAGACATTACATACACAAGTGTATGTTCCCACTAGACTGACCTGTGTATACACCCACTAGACTGACCTGTGTATACACCCACGGGATACCGGGCCAGATCCCTGACAGGCACAACATACACCCATTGTTCTCAAAGACATTACATACACAAGTGTATGTTCCCACTAGACTGACCTGTGTATACACCCACTAGACTGACCTGTGTATACACCCACGGGCCGCCAGATCCCTGACAGGCACAACATACACCCATTGTTCTCAAAGACATTACATACACAAGTGTATGTTCCCACTAGACTGACCTGTGTATACACCCACCTGTGTATACACCCACTACACACCCACCTGTGTATACACCCGCGGGCCTCCAGGTAAGCCATGCCACTGGCGGAGTCCAGACACATCTTGGTCAGCTGTGCCTTGTTCTGAGACTTGCCTTGCTTCCGGAGGAACCCAAGCAGTGCTCCACCTACAACACACAACATGAAACTGTAACCAGGGGGATGAGGGCTCCCAAAGATGCAGGTGGCGGAGAGGACACGGAGGGAAAGAGGAAAGAGGGGAGGAGGGGAAGAGGGAAGGAGGGGGAAGAAGAGGGAAGGAGAGGGAGAGGGGAATAGGGAAGAAGGAAAGAGAGGGAAGAGGGAAGGAGGGGGGAGGGGAGAGGGAAGGAGGGGAAGAGGGAAGGAGAGGGAAGAGGGGAAGAGGGAAGAAGGGGAAGGGGGAAGAGGGGAAAAAGGGGAGAGGGGAAGAGGGGAAGAGGGAAGGAGGGGAAAGAGAGGGAAGAGGGAAGAGGGGAAAGAGAGGGAAGAGGGGGAAGAGGGGAAAAGGGAAGAGGGGAAGAGGGAAAAGGGAAGAGGGGAAGAGGGGAAAAGGAAGGAGAGGGAGGAGGGAAAAGAGGGAAGGAGGGAAGGGGGAGAAGAGGGGAAAAGGGGAAGAGGGAAGAGGGAAGGAGGGGAAGAGAGGAAGAGGAAGAGGGAAAGAGAGGAAGAGGGAAGGAGGGGGGAAGGAGAGGAAGGGGAAGAGGGGAAAAGGGAAGAGGGGAAAAGGGAAGGAGAGGGAAGAATGAAAGGAGGGAAAGAGAAGAAGGAGGGGAAGAGGGGGAAGAGGGAAGAGGGAAGGAGGAGGAAGAGAGGGAAGAGGGAAGGAGGGGAAGGAGAGGGAAGAGGGGAAGGAAGAGGAAGGAGGGGGGGAAGGGAGGGAAGAGGGAAGGAGGGGAAAAGGGGAAGGGGGAGAGGGAAGAGGAGGGAAGAAGAGAGGGAAGAAGGGAAGAGGGAAGAGGGGAAGAGAGGGAAGGAGGGTGAAGAGAGGGAAGAGGAAAGAGGGGAAAGGAGGGGAAGAGGGGAAAGAGAGGAAGAGGGAAAAGGGAAGAGGGGAAAAGGGAAGGAGAGGGAAGAATAGGGAGGTGAGAAAGAGGGAAGGAGGGGAAGAGGAGAAAAGGGGAAGGGGGAGAGGGAAGAGGGGGCAGAGGGAAGGAGGGGAAGAGGTAAGGAGAGGGAAGAAGAGGGAAGAGGGAAAGAGGGAAAGAGAGGGAAGAGGGAAGGAGGGGAAAGGGGGAAGAGGGAGGAAGCAGTGAAGAACATAGGAAGGAGGGAAGGACAAGGCAGGAGGTGAGGGCTGTAGAGTGAAGGTTAGGGGAAGGTGGTAAGAAGGTAAAATGGGAAGAACAGAAGGAGATAGCTTCTCTTGTTCACATTGACAATAACATCACAATGAACAGAAGGCAAGGGTTTCACCAATTGTGCCATGGTGAATGGAACCTGTAACAGAGAGTCCTTCAGTCACACCACACCAGACCCACTGATCATCACTGACCTGCCACAAACTCCATGACAATCATCACCGGCTGCCGCTGTGCTGCGATTCCGATGAAGCAGACGATGTTCGGATGGTCGTACTGTTTCAGGATTCTACCCTCCTGCAGGAACTTCTTCCTCTGCTCCTCCGACAGCGTGTCCTTGCACGTCTTGACCGCCACAACCAGGTTCTTGGGTGTGTACACCCCCTTGTATACCTCACCGAAGTTGCCCTGGAGAGACAACACTTCAACATCACTGTCAGTTATATCATAGAATGACAGAGAGCAACACTAAACACATTCTCTTCCCACAGAGGTTACTTGTCATATCTTCCTACGAACCTCTGTTCTAATACGGCCATATTTCCCGGTTCTCGTAAAATCCCCTAGCGGCAAAAGATCGCAACACGAATTATCTCCCTTCTTTCTATCCAATCAGAACACGTGTTACATCAACTTAGATTCAACTTGACTAACACAAGCAAATGTGGGGCCACAAATATCCCCCAACTGCCGGGGACTTGTGTTGATGTTACACACAAGACGTTTAATGGCTAGCATGTCAGTTGTCAATGAGGGCGATGCAGACGCCACTGGTCCGCCATAACATGACTGAGTTCTGTCTAGTTTGCGCATCGCGCAGGGGAAGAAGTTTAACTTTCTCGAAGCATACGGAAATTACCGAGGCCTTGCGAATGATCACTTTTGAAACAACGTCGCTGATTGCACAACTAAATCTGATTGCCTCCAATCACCAGTCTTGAACGCTCACACCATGAAAGGGCCGTATTAGAAGAGAGGTTACGTAGGAAGATATGACAGGAGTAACCTCTGTTGGAAGAGAATGCACTAAACGGTGTTTCACGTACATCACCCAGTTAGATCATCACACTAAATGTACACCTCGCACACCTGTCATGACCCTTCGGGTGGCGCACTCACATTTCCAATCTTCATCTCGAGGGAGATGTCGTCGTTCATCAGCTCCCACTCTTCCCGGAGGATGGGTGTCCGCAGGATGGCCTGGGATTTGGTTGTCACTGGGTCCCCCGAACAGTGCTGCTGGAAGATCAGGTCGGGGATGGTGGGATACGAGATCCCTTCGAACTTCCACGCTCCCGTCTGAAACACAACCAGCATGAGACCTGTCTCAGCAACATGTGACTCTTGTAGCGCTTTTCCCCCCATAAAACTACACAGATGAAATATCTAAACCAGTAAACTGATTCAGTAAATATACTGACCAGTACAATGATAAAGTATATATACTAGCCACATAAAGAAACTGTGCATTGTCAAAATATTATCCCAGTTGATAAGTACGATAACAATGTCAAAGGTACATATAAACCTTAATGGAGGGATCATGAGACCATAACAAGTCGGGAGAATTTCAATTGAAAAGTCAATCACAAAGACGTCACGAGTCCACAAGCGGGACAGGGGTCAAACGACCATGTCACAAGCTCAATAACGGTTATGTCCACCATCGGCATTGAGAACAGCAGTGCATCGACAACGCATAGAGCCTATCAAACGTGCAAGGAAGGCTTGTGGGATGTCACGCCAGATTCTCTCAAGTTCTGTTGCAAGGTCAAGGACGCTATCTGGCGGATGAGGAAGACGGCGTAGACGTCGATCCATCTCGTCCTCAACATGCTCTATCGGGGAGAGATCCAGTGAATTTGCAGGCCAAGGCAGTAAGTCAACGTTGTGGTGTTGCAAGAAATCAATAGCAACCCTTGCCGTATGAGGGCGGGCATTGTCATGTTGGAATGTTAACCCAGGGCCTTGACGTTGCAGAAAACGAATTGCCACAGGTTGGAGAATCTGATCCCTGTAGCCCACACCAGTTAAGTTGCCCTGAACAATCACCAAAGGAGTTCTTTGGCGTGCTGTTATTCCACCCCAAATCATCACGGGAATCATCACGGAACCACCACCAAAGCGATTCCTCTCCAAGACACAGGCCTGTGCATAACGTTCTCCCACACGTCTATAGGCATTGTGACGTCCATCACTATGGGAAATGTTAAACCTGGACTCATCTCTAAAAACAACATTTCTCCACCAAAACAAGGGTCTGCGGACATGATTTCGGCATGTTGTGTCAGGATAGGCCGTATGGCGGGACGTCGTGGTCTGATCCCGTGATGACGTAACGTTGTCGAACTGTGTTGGGGTGGTACGGAGAAGTCCTGGGATGGTTCGGGCAGTCATCACTGCAGTCTGAAACCTGTGGCGAAGATGGGTCACCCTTATCCATATGTCCTGTCTTGGCGTTGTTACACGTGGACGTCCAGAACATGGCCGATTGGTGACGTCATTTGTGTTCTGGTAGCGTCTCACCAGTGCACAAATGGTGTTCCGGTGGCAGTGGAAATGTGCAGCCACTTGTCGTGGAGACATTCCCCCACGGACCATCCCAATGGCCTCATGACGTGCAGACTTGAGCCTTGGCATGCTATGCGTTTCAATAGCCGTTTAATTTTTTGAACAATCACAAGGGCAGGGGTTGAGCTTTCCAATGTGACAGTATTGTGTGGCATTCATTTGCTCTGTTTCTCTTTCCCGGAATGCACGTGCAACAACGTATTGCACGTCTCAAGGACGAACCCACTGACGTCACAGAACGTGACACGTGCATGCATGTTGGATACATGTCACTAATCTCTGAGTTTAAATCCTTATGTGTCTACAAAGGTTTGATACATTTAGATTAAATTTTTTTGTATGCACAGTTTCTTTATGTGTCTAGTATATATCCCTACCAGTAAAATGATGAAGTAGTTATGTCCAGACCAGTACAATGATGAAGTATTTATACCCCAACCCGTACACTGATAAAGTATATATCTCTACCAGTACAGTGATGCAGTATTTATATCCAGACCAGTACAATGTTGAAGTATTTATATCCCGACCAGTACAATGATGCAGTATTTATATCCCGACCAGTGCAATGATGAAGCATTTATTTCCCGACCAGTACAATGATGAAGAATCAAATCCCGACCAGTACAATGATGAAGTATCTATATCATGACCAGTAAAATGATGAAGTATTTATACCCCTACCAGTAGAATGAAGCAGTAATTATATCCCTACCAGTACAATGATGAAGTATTTACATCCCAACCAGTACAACGATGAAGCACACATATACTTACACCTCCCTGAATGATGAAGTGTTTATATCCCGCCCAGTAGACCGACAGATACTTACATCTCCCTGAATGATGAAGTGTTTATATCCCGACCAGTAGACCGACAGATACTTACATCTCCCTGAATGATGAAGTGTTTATATCCCGACCAGTAGACCGACAGATACTTACATCTCCCCTGAATGATGAAGTGTTTATATCCCTACCAGTAGACCCGACAGATACTTTACATCTCCCCTGAATGATGAAGTGTTTATATCCCGACCAGTAGACCGACAGATACTTACATCTCCCTGAATGATGAAGTGTTTATATCCCGCCCAGTAGACCGACAGATACTTACATCTCCCTGAATGATGAAGTGTTTATATCCCGACCAGTAGACCGACAGATACTTACATCTCCCTGAATGATGAAGTGTTTATATCCCGCCCAGTAGACAGATACTTACATCTCCCTGAATGATGAAGTGTTTATATCCCGCCCAGTAGACCGACAGATACTTACATCTCCCTGAATGATGAAGTGTTTATATCCCGACCAGTAGACCGACAGATACTTACATCTCCCTGAATGATGAAGTGTTTATATCCCGACCAGTAGACCGACAGATACTTACATCTCCCTGAATGATGAAGTGTTTATATCCCGACCAGTAGACCGACAGATACTTACATCTCCCTGAATGATGAAGTGTTTATATCCCGACCAGTAGACCGACAGATACTTACATCTCCCTGAATGATGAAGTGTTTATATCCCTACCAGTAGACCCGACAGATACTTACATCTCCCTGAATGATGAAGTGTTTATATCCCGCCCAGTAGACCGACAGATACTTACATCTCCCTGAATGATGAAGTGTTTATATCCTGACCAGTAGACCGACAGATACTTACATCTCCCTGAATGATGAAGTGTTTATATCCCGCCCAGTAGACCGACAGATACTTACATCTCCCTGAATGATGAAGTGTTTAAATCTCCACAAACACACAGATACTTACATCTCCCTGAATGATGAAGTGTTTAAATCTCCACAAACACACAGATACTTACATCTCCCTGAATGATGAAGTGTTTAAATCTCCACAAACACACATATACTTACATCTCCCTGAATGATGAAGTGTTTAAATCTCCACAAACACACAGATACTTACATCTCCCTGAATGATGAAGTGTTTAAATCTCCACAAACACACATATACTTACATCTCCCTGAATGATGAAGTGTTTATATCCCACCAGTAGACCGACAGATACTTACATCTCCCTGAATGATGAAGTGTTTATATCCCGCCCAGTAGACAGACAGATACTTACATCTCCCTGAATGATGAAGTGTTTATATCCCTACCAGTAGACCGACAGATACTTACATCTCCCTGAATGATGAAGTGTTTATATCCCTACCGACCAGTAGACAGACAGATACTTACATCTCCCTGAATGATGAAGTGTTTATATCCTCACAAACACACATATACTTACATCTCCCTGAATGATGAAGTGTTTATATCCCGCCCAGTAGACCGACAGATACTTACATCTCCCTGAATGATGAAGAGTTTATATCCCACCCAGTAGACCAGCAGATACTTACATCTCCCCTGAATGATGAAGTGTTTATATCCCGACCAGTAGACCGACAGATACTTACATCTCCCTGAATGATGAAGTGTTTATATCCCGCCCAGTAGACCGACAGATACTTACATCTCCCTGAATGATGAAGTGTTTATATCCCGCCCAGCAGACAGACAGATACTTACATCTCCCTGAATGATGAAGTGTTTATATCCCGACCAGTAGACCGACAGATACTTACATCTCCCTGAATGATGAAGTGTTTATATCCCGACCAGTAGACCGACAGATACTTACATCTCCCTGAATGATGAAGTGTTTATATCCCGACCAGTAGACAGACAGATACTTACATCTCCCTGAATGATGAAGTGTTTATATCCCGACCAGTAGACAGACAGATACTTACATCTCCCTGAATGATGAAGTGTTTATATCCCGCACCAGTAGACAGACAGATACTTACATCTCCCTGAATGATGAAGTGTTTATATCCCACCAGTAGACCGAGACAGATACTTACATCTCCCTGAATGATGAAGTGTTTATATCCCGACCAGTAGACCGACAGATACTTACATCTCCCTGAATGATGAAGTGTTTATATCCCGCCCAGTAGACCGACAGATACTTACATCTCCCTGAATGATGAAGTGTTTATATCCTCACAAACACACAGATACTTACATCTCCCTGAATGATGAAGTGTTTATATCCCGCCCAGTAGACCGACAGATACTTACATCTCCCTGAATGATGAAGTGTTTATATCCCGACCAGTAGACAGACAGATACTTACATCTCCCTGAATGATGAAGTGTTTATATCCCTACAGTAGACCGACAGATACTTACATCTCCCTGAATGATGAAGTGTTTATATCCCTACCAGTAGACCGACAGATACTTACATCTCCTGAATGATGAAGTGTTTATATCCCACCAGTAGACCGACAGATACTTACATCTCCCTGAATGATGAAGTGTTTATATCCCCCAGTAGACCTAGACACAGATACTTACATCCCCCTGAATGATGAAGTGTTTATATCCCCCAGTAGACAGATACTTACTTCATCCCTGAATGATGAAGTGTTTATATCCCTTGAGTAGACCCGACAGATACTTACATCTCCCTGAATGATGAAGTGTTTATATCCCACCAGTAGACCGACAGATACTTACATCTCCCTGAATGATGAAGTGTTTATATCCCGCCCAGTAGACCGACAGATACTTACATCTCCCTGAATGATGAAGTGTTTATATCCCGCCCAGTAGACCGACAGATACTTACATCTCCCTGAATGATGAAGTGTTTAAATCTCCACAAACACACAGATACTTACATCTCCCTGAATGAT